TTCTTTGAATAATTGCTTGCTTGCTGTCTGAAGTTTTCACAGATAGGATGACAATTTAGCTAGATTCTTTAATGATAGACCTCGAGAAATGAATCCGTTAGTTCATAAAATGTTGTATGCATCACGTGCGTAAAATGCGTTTGTGGCCTTCATTATTCACGTCGCAGGCCATAGACGCCTACTTTACACTCTTGATACATGAATAACTAAAATACACCTCAGGACCAAAGTGTTTTTGAATCTCTCGACGAATTATAGCCCTCCCGATAATCGGGCTATAAAATTTCTGTTTCGAAATTTAAAATACCACTTTAGCGAAGTGACAATTAATAATGAAAGAAAAGCAGTAATCAATGATGACAAGCACTAATAACGGCAACAACAAACAGAGGAAAGTAAATGTTTGACCGAAGTTATTGAGAAATTTAACAGAACAATTTTCCTCGATCTGCAACATTTTCATGAGGCTTGTTGGGCTAAGTCTTCATATCTTGGTGTGTACTATCTGTAGTTCAGATATTACGTATTTCTAATGAATCACTCTGTAAATCAAGCAAGCAATGGTATCCATTTCCTCCCAATGTTTGAAGATTGATGCCAAACACGTAGCGGAGATCATTTAACACACAGGAGAAAATGAACTATCACTCCCATATGATATCATCTTTATACAATGATGATATGATATAGTGATTTTATCCACAAACGCATATATTTGAAAGTCATTCTTGAAAGTGTACTTCAGGCGGTCTATCTCTCGATCAAAATCAATATGCGTTACAAAAGTATCGTATGCCATGGACAAATAACGATATTTTAAACTGATCGAAAATCAATTTGATATTTCCATCACTGAATTCATAATTATCACCAGCGGCGGATCCAAGGGGGAGGGGCACCAGGGGGTAATTGCCCACCCCTGAGAAATTGAGTTCGACAGGATAATCTCGCCACTGAGCACTGGTAGCCAGCCCACCCCTCGTTTGTGCCTATAAGTTTCCTTCAAGTATTCTCATCAACGCTTTTATTTACTACAGATTTCATTATAGCATTTTTTTTCGGAGGTGGTCAAAATCCTTTACGGATACCACGGAGGACCATTCCCTTCATGGTAGTGTGGGAATCCTTACAATAAACACTAAACACTCCACCTCCTTTCAAGGCTCGTCTGACTGAAGTCTCTCACTTTGTTGTTGTTGTTGTTGTTGTACCATTGTACCTCGAATATGCCGTTATTGATTTTAGCATATTCTACCCATGGTTCTTATTTGAGGGTCACTTCGAATGCCGCCACAGCAACTGTGAACATTGCTGCACACAGTACCAGAGATTAGTTTGAAAGACCCTTTTCATTCGGGTTCCTGAAGACTACTCTTCCGAGCCCTGGTCTCGTCCATGAAGAAGGCCAAGTTTTCCATCAACTACGAGTAATGGGGAAAGGGGTTGGTCCAGCCCTGTGGTGCCTCCTGCACAAGGCTAAATCTGTTTACTCTGAGATGTCACCCGGCCTGTTTCCCAGATGTCCCGTTATCGGCACCATATTATCTCGGTGTCATTCATCCCTCGTCACGGATTCCCACAAGTTGGATTAGGTTGCCAGAGATTCGTTATCAATCCGCGACCACATAAGCCACAAATCGTCCCATCCTTGCACTCAGATGTCCACAAAACTGTCCCATCTGAGTGATAAGAGCAAAGATCTGCCAAGCAGCCGCGGCTTGTCCTCTCCGCACTATGGTGAGGTTGGGCTTTAGGGGAGAAGGAAAACAAGAAGAATTGACCAAGAGAGGCGGATACAAAAGATTGAAAATTGAAGAGTGAAGAGGATACCACCAAAGACATAAAGACAAGTTGAAAATTAATGAGTATCCGGCTAGGGTACCTCGGGATTGCCATTCCCGTACTCACAAGTCGTGAGCCTTACTCCTATAATAGATATATCGAAAATTACTTTACCCATGAGTCGTATATTACAAAAACCGACATTGGATTCAAAAACAGAATCTGGCGCAGTGAATGACCATTTAGCTTCACTGGACTGGAAGAAAGAAGAGAACATTGTGATACATATATCTTTTTGTAGTGTAGGAAACAGTCATATCTGCTGCTTCTGATTTACAGAACAGTAAACTGAGCGGAAGAAAAGTTTATAGAAAAATTATGGTCTAATAGAGAGAAGGAAATTTTTACAGGAAATCATTATACATGTACCATTATTGGAAAGTGTAATAAATGACATCGAGATCGAGTAGATTTTCGCATGAGACGTTGGAATGCTATGATCTGCTACTCATTCCACCAACACCAACAGGTACCCTCTGAAATGTGAGATCAATCCCAAAATTTGAATTAAAATTGCTACGAAGACTCGTAGAGGTACTAAGAAATTCTTATGGTTTATCGACTTTCACTTTTGAAGGCGAATTAGCGATGTAGAAAGCGAAATGGCAACAGGAAAGTGGTGAAAATTTACCAAAAAACGTATTTTCAACATTGTCCGTATGTGATAAGACTTATTTCCTATGGGTATCAACGAATTCATTAGACAAGCCATCATGGTTTCCAGAGTTCCCAAGTTATGAAATTCAAACCTTGGCCGTACTTATGTGATAAGACTTATTTCCTATGGTTATCAACGAATTCATTAGACAAGCCATCATGATTTCCAGAGTTCCGAAGGTAAGAAATTCAAATTTGGCTGGGGTGTAGAATTGAAAAATGTTGGAAGATTTCATACTCTTCCATCAATTCCGGTTTCACCGGCAGCAACTCCAACTTTTGATTTTTATTCCACAATAAATGAATTCAACGAAACCGGATTTGATAGGGTGATATCAAACTATTACAAAGATATTCGCATTCGATACTTCCATATGCTCAATGAGTGTGACAGAGACAGAAGTGTGGATATTGCACCGTCACACCCATCACAATCGATATGAGACCCCGGTACGGGACATTACTAATCACTGAGGTTGACTAGGACCAGCCTTAACCTCCCCCCTTGTGGTCCTCACATACTAGAAGTTCACATGGGGCTTGTGACTTCAAGAGTCAGCTGTTTGGGGGTTGAAAATTTTTGAAATACAAGACAATTCGCACTGAGTGGGGTCTAGTATCTGATTTCTAGTGGGGTTTTCGTGACTTTTGGGCTCTGTTAATTTTTTTAAAATAGGAATCATGAAGACCACTATTCTCGTGGAGGGGGGTTGTGTTGTGTAGTGTGCTTACCTGTCCAAGAGTTGGGTTCTTGGACGTTTGTGTCTTTCCCAGAATCGAGGGTCAAAGTTTGTTTGTTTTTACAGCGTGGATTTCTATCCAGTCCAGTATTTTGGTATGGTTAAGATCTCTGAGGGGATTGTTCCTCACGAACCAGGGGACACACCCATTTGGGCATATGGAAACTTCTAACGCAAGTATCTTCGTAATCGTTCGAAATAACCCTATCAAATCCGGTGTTGTTGAATTCCTAATTGATTATGCAATGGAATACAGGGTGTCCTATTTGAAAATGGAAAGTTGGAGTCGTTTCCGGTAAAGTATGTGATGAGACAGTATGTAATATCGAATTTTACATTTCTTGAATACAACACCCCTGTCAAGTTTGAATATCATTTACCTTCAGAACTCTGGAAACCATGAATTCGTTGATACCCGTTATATACTGTTCATTCTATAATAGGTATGTTTACCCTAGCTGTACTGTCGAACGAATTTCCATTTCCTACCTATAAATGACCTTAACTAGATAAGAATTCGACAATACCATCAATTTGTGAAAAAAAAATCATGATAAAAATATATGTATGTATGTATATGCCCCCTTATTCCCTCCCGAAGAAGCTTGCTGGGTCCGCCGCTGCTAACAAATTGAATTCCACGGATCTTATAGGTATATCGATGAGAAAGATGGAAGCTAAAATCAATGTATGTAACATCCCACGGGAAGTAACTTTTTCTTTTCCAGAGTGGGTGTTAATTTTGACAATTTGGTTGCCTTTAATGTGGGAGCAAACGCCAACTTTGGGTTCAGTGAGTAGGTACAATTTTTTTATTGAGATGACAGCGGTAACGGATCGTATTTTCATGCAGTACTTTCCTGCTAGATTCATTCTTAAAATGAATCAGATTTGGGGATTGGACAATGAACTTCCTGGGTATACCATACCATCGGATTGCCAGGAATATCCACAAATCCTTTGATTTCCAGAGTCTGGCAGGTATGAGATTCAAATTTGGCAGGGGTGTAGGATTCGAGAATCTCAAAATTTTGCAATATTCTATACTCTCCTATCACTTCCAATTGCAACGAAAATGCCCGCAAATTTTGATTTCCAAACAGTACACCCTCTTTATTCCATTCCACAAAAAGTTGATGATTATCATAATGAATTCGACGATACCGGATTTTGGCAGTGTTATTTCAGAGGATTACGAAGATATTCATGAGATATTTGCGTTCAAAATTTCCATGTGCTCAATGAGTGTGATAAAGATAGAGAAGTTTAGATCTTGTACCGTCACTCCCATTGAGCATATGGGAAATTAGGATGCAAGTATCTTCGTAATCCGTGCCCCATTTGAAAAGGAAAAGTTGGAGTTGTTTCCGGTAAAACCGGAAGAGATCGGTGAGTATAACATATCTATGAGAAGATTTTTGAATTCTCGAATCCATCAAGGAGTTTGATGAATATCATATCCTTAGAACTCTGGAAACCATAGGTTGTCTAGTGAATACTTCCTGGCGACCTACAGAGCCTCTGTTTCGTTCTCAATTTTTCACTTTGTATAAAAATCCCAAAGGGTAAGTCTGGGCATTGTCGATCTAAATGAAAACCTAGTAGGCGACCTAGTACGCGAGGAGGTACAATAAGCTCTTGCCTACTAACAACCTAACTAGGTTGTCATCTAGAACCATAATGGTCTGGGTACGTCACATTCTTACATTGAAATACAATGGAATTTGAAAAGCCTCAATGTTCAACCAATTTTCCACTTACCTCTTGCAAAATGCGTCTGATTCCTTCAGTTGGGGCATCGTCGTAGTGTTGAGGATCTTCAGAAAGCAATTTCAAAACGCGGATTTTTCCGCCAGGACATTTAGCGAATACGTCGGTAAAAGTGCCTCCTCGGTCAATGGCAAAACTAAATTTTCTTTGGGAAGCCATAATCTATAATAGAACTTCACAATCTTAGGCCAATAATTGTTAACTACGATTCATCAATTGGATAAATGGACTCAACCAAGCAGTCAAATAATTCATCAAATAAGATAATTATGTTTTATTTGATTTACCTATTCAATTGCTGGTATCAGATGGTGTATTTAATTTCCAGAAATGTTTCCAAGGTTTCTACCTAGATTAGCTTATATTTAGTTGTTGAAAGATCATGCGAGCCAACATCAACATTAGATATGAATTTATCGTATATATGCGTCAATACATCTGTTCACAGTGAATATATTATGATTCGAATTCCTGACTGGTTTGTCTGATCTATGTTACGCCACTGTTCGTTTCGCTCATTTATTATCGTTACAATGTTGCCAGTACGAACAAGACCGGTACTAGATCCCTGAAATCATTGAGTACTTAGTAGATATTCACCTATCTCGCTATATATACACATACAGGGTGTTGCAAAATTCAACCGACAACGCTTTACAGCTGATCGATCTCGTGATTAGATGAAGGATTAGATAGAAACATGAAGTCAAGTAGTCAATTCCAGAGATAAGAAAACGGCTTTTTCTAATTTTATTGTAGTTTACAATTTTCTCTTAAAAATCCTCTATTTTTGACGATACAGTCACCTTGGTCTTTTCATCCATTGACGAGCCACAGGGGTTGTTGTAACTGATCCTCTGCTATTTTCTACGCCTGGTCGTGCGCGATTTTTGTATTTGAATTAATGAAAAACTAAGTATAGTCATGGTGACTATATCAAAAACCTGAAGAATTTTCAATCAATTTTTGCCAATACTAAATTTCGATTCCAATAATGTTGTTACAGCGACCTGCTCACTTATACAAGGTGTTTCGTAATATGTGGAACGCACTTTGAGAGGTGATAGGGCGTTTCAAGATCAAGAAAATATAAAAGTTCTCATGAACAAAAGTCGTAGGAGGCTTCGTTTGCGAGATACAGGATGTTGTAGTTGAAATTATTTATAGAATTTTTATATATCCATCCTTTATAGCTCATGGTGGGGTCAAAATATAGTCTGTTATATGTGACTGGCATAGTGTCACAATTACAGAATGACATCTATCATGATTATGGAGCAATCTGAACAGATGTCTTGAATGGACTACTCGACATCCTCGAACATCTTTCTTCACGAGCTTCAACACTAGGTGTATTTTCGAATGAAATTTCGCCACTCATGTTTTTTCTGAAAAATCACACACATACCCACATCACATCACATACCCCTTAACGGTGCCACTGGGAGTCAGATTAACTGAATAATGCTACCCGTCCAATCACTCTCAGGTACTGAGTTTTGCAAGAGGGCAAGTATGAGCATCTCGGAGAAAAAGCGAGTATATAAAAAGTGACTTTCCAAAAATCTAATGACTTTTTGTTTTTGAGTTGTTTTCTGGATTTTCAATTTAACTTTTTTTTCTGACGTTAATAATGAAGCTATGACAATGCCGCAAAAACGTTTCCATGACAACTTTTGAAGTTATTCGATTTGGCGACATCGGTTTTCAGATCAAACGTTTCGTCTCTGAGCAACCAACAATCATCAACAAAATTTTTTCAAATATGGTCCTGATATCTTGATATCATATTTGAATAGCCCTTATTGTCATTCGGATTTCGACGATATGCTACGAATTGTAGTTTTGATGCGTTTCGAGCTTATTTTGGCCATCATCAAGTATAATTCTCGGAATACGGAACTGAATTCCTCATAATTCTGTGAAAAAAAGGTTAATTCATCAAATTGAATATTCAGCAATGCTACATAAAATCTTCTTTTTGTTAAATGTAAGCGTTTCTGGCGTATGAAACTGATGAATTCACAAGATCTGTTCACAAGATGGCTTCAGGATGGAAGAAATGTGCAGGTGCTGGGGTCTATGGGCAGACCCCAAGGGCAGAACATTACTATACCCTCGGGAAGTATGCCTCGATTTTTCAGGCTGAAGTATTTGCAATACTTGCCTGTGTTCAAAAGAATATCGAGAGGGCCTATCACAGCCAGCAAATCACTATATGCACTGACAGCCAGGCAGCGATAAAGGTGCTCACCTCGTATAAAATGACGCCTTGGTGTCAGAGTGCGAAGATAGCCTACAAAGGCTGTCGGCATCGAACAAAGTATGTCTTTTGTGGATCCCTGGGCACTCAGGGGTACCTGGTAACGAAATGGCCGATAGTCTGGCCAGAAAGGGGGCAAAGGGTTCAGTGATTGGTCCAGAGCTAGTCCTGGGGGTCACTCGATCCTGGAGCAATTTCAGTATGAAGGAAATCCTGATGGAAAGGTTTCAGCTGGAGAGAGGCTCCTGGAACGAGACAGTCCAAAATCCATAAGAAACCCGTCACGAAGACAGACCAATGCACTCTTGGCTTTGAACAGGAAGGAATTGAAACTGGTGGTGGCCTTCTGACAGGGCATTGCCACTTGAACAAGCATCTCAGCACGATCGGGATTGTGAAGGATCCTGAATGTAGATGGTGCTTAGAGGATGAAGAGACTTCAACTATCACATCCTCACTGAATGTCCGGCAGTATAGTGGCAGCAAGGGACATCCATTTTGGGGCAGTATATCATGGACCCAGAAGATGTTGAAATGATCTGGCCTAGAAAGTTGGTTTCTTTTGCTCGCAATATCGGACTTTTCCATGGCTAACTTGCGATCCCAGGAATTTGGGTGCACAATGGGCCCGAAAGGGAGGCCTATAAGTGCGTCAGGTCCCGGACCGCCCACACACATACATACATACATACATACATACTCTGAATTGCTTCAAGAACCAATATTCTCAGTTCTTCTTCTGATATTCTGGTTCTAAAGCTCGCTCATAAACATAGCTCTTGACATATCGACAGAGAATGAAGTCTGGCTGGGACACATCTGGTGAACGAACTGGCCAGGGCGTTTCAGAGTAAGTGCTAATCGATCTTCTTGTGAATCAGACTAATCTGAGAGCGATGAAATCTCTAGCGACTCTTTGGATATGTGCAGGTGCACTATCCTGCTAGAACCAACATTCCTGATCTTCCGCCAGTGGCAAATTGTCCAGGGCTCGCTCCATATAATTTGAGAGTGAATTCAAATAACTCATTAACAGAGTTATGAGAAATTCAGGTCCGTATTCCAAAAATTACTTGATGATGGCCAGAATATGGTCGAAATGCATCAAAACCACACTATATAGCATATCGTCGAAATCAAAATGGAAAGGGCTATTCGAATCTGATATCAAAATATCAGCGCCGTATTTGAAAAGATGCAGTTGATGATGGTAGCTCAAAGACGAAACGTTGAATCAGGAAATCGATGATTGAATAGCTTCAAAAGTTGCCACGAAGATATTTTTTCAGTTTTGTCAAACTTCATGATCAGCGGTAGAAAAAAATAAAATTGAAAATCCGAGAATTTAGCTTTTTGGAAATAACTGAAAAACAAAAAGTCATATCAGAGATTTTCGAGAGTAATTTTGATATTGGTCCTTCACTGGCGCTTGATATATATTACGCTTACGCTAACGCTTAGGTACTTAGAAATATTAATAGAGTAATAAGAATAAGGATAAAGGACCTATTCTATAGTATCAGCATATCTTCCAGACTCAAAGAATTCGTTCACTTTCCATAATTGATTGATATATATGTTATAATATATGTGTATAGGTATGTAAATATAAGAAAACTGAGAAATATCGCAGAAGAAACTGGCAACGTTGGTTTTATTTTTATCGTTATATCATAAGACTACAGAATTAAACAATTCAATAATCTTTGGTTATGATTACATTTTATGTGTACTACCTACCTTGTAATGCAAGGTGACTCAGCATAAAAACTGATGTATTTATTTTTTCACATTCGAGATTGCTATAATGCTATATATATATATATATATACCTACAATGTAAGCCGTATACAGCTTTTCATCACAGACTTATTGGTGAAATAAGAGCGTGTGGAATATCAATGAAAGTTCTCTTACACTTTTGTATTTCATTCCCGTTTCCCCCAGGACCATTGCTTATTTTTTCAGAGCAGAAAAATATTTCGATTTTATATAATTTTCATTTCTGCCGTTTTAATATATTTATGATAGTTATTGTTATTTTCAAATCAATAGAGGTACCTATAATAATAGTTTTATTCTATACCAGAGTTCATTATGTATGTGAATTCCTATATATAAGTAGGTATCCCATTTCCTCTATGATATTTCTTCAATGACTGAATACATAATTTTTTAATAAGTGAATTTTTTGACTGTTGGTGGCTTACAAATAAAATAAAAATATTTGGAAGTCGATTATTTTCGATATTCAAATTAAGCTTGCCTGTAGCTGAAAATTGAGAATTAAATTTGGTTTCTACTGATGGTTCCAAAATGTTGATAAATAAAAAATTATAATAAGAAAATGTGCGAAAATGTATGCTCACGGTAGGTAATAATAAGTTACTGTTTAACATCTTAACTATAATGTATAATACCTGTATCGTTATCCTATATATGTATGATTTTCTACCAGCACCTATATATCACGACGGTTCAGAAATCCAACTATTATCAGTTTAACTGTGATTCTAATATATCACTAGTTAGAAAATAGCACATTAAAACGAGGACAAACAAATACCTCTATTTATACTATATTTTGGTGATTTCAATCGTACCCAGTGATGATCTATCAGTAAGAGACATCATTGGCGTAGGATATCCATGGATCAACCGAATTAAATAAATTTAATTGGTAGGTATTCAAAAAAATGAACTCAGATTTTGATTTGAAGCTTTATGAATAATGAATATATACGGGATGATCCTCAGAAATGACAGTTTTGTCGTATATTATGCGACAACCATTATTATATTATTATTGAACCCAGACAACACACGACGTCCCGAGGACGCGCCGTATACATATACATATATTACGCCCGATTCGAGTCCGTACGTCTCGGAACCTATGACGTTCTCAGAACGTACCATTCCGTATGTCTTCGGGACGTACAGAGCGTGTACGTTTCCAGGACGTCCATTTTTAGTCTCAAATTTTTCGATATATTCACTATCCACTTTATATTCATAATATTTTTCAATGATAATGAAACATTGTCAAATGTGATCAAATAGAGTAGTCTAGCTGCTGATTCATTTGATAATATGTCACAATGAATCAAGTGATTTTTTGTGACCAATGTGGAGAAATTTGAGTGAATCAGGCAATTTTGGCATATTAATATCCTGAATAATGTACTTATTTCCAATCTTTATAGGATGCCGATTTCGAAGGAAAGATGAATTTTTATGGACATTATTCTACCTCCTGTCATGAATGTATATTATGTTTGCTTCTCATTTGCATGTTTTGAACAGAGATAAAGTCTGATATTTCAATCAAAAGGTTTTTGAGATTTTTACAATTTTCTATATCGATGCATGTTACTTATTGGCTCCTATATAGAGGGCACTAATAAGTATCAAGTTGCTGAGAACATTACAGAAACTATGTACCTAATGTGGTAGAGGTGGCGTCAAAATAAACTACTTTTTTCCCAAGAAGTCTGTGTTCGAAGTTAAATATGAAAATACATGCAGTTGCAAAAATAACTTATGGCGAAAACCAATAACCATGATTTTTAGAAAATGTTAACCATATATCTGTAACTCGAAAACAAATAATTTTTCAATAAACATTTCATAGGAAAAAAGTAGTTTATTTTGACGAGACCTCCACACATACTCACTTTTTGTAATGTCAACAACTTATTCACTTATTACCTCGGATCCCTATAGGAGATAATTCACATGAATTGATATAGGGATTTTAAGATCTCTAAAACAATATCACATCCAGTGCGTTGTTGAAGAAGTGTACTTACCTTTTTTACTTGGAAAAGGTGTGGCGTAGGTTCAACACCCAAGCATAAGCCATTCGCCTGGTGCGTGATGCCAGACTCACTAATCCTTTGACTTCATTAAAAACCGTTTTTCAGTTTTCTATAGAAACGTATACGTAAGTACTTCCACGGAAAATGTTCTTCTCTCTGTTATATTTCATTCCATCAGTAGCGGCGCAATACCAGTCAGACGAACCCGACAAGCCCAGTCAACGCATCCTTACGTTGTCAACCTTGAAATATGTCGAACAACACCTCACCAAAACTCGTTCGTCTATAAAACGGCGAAGCTTTGAAATTCGTAGCCAATGAGAGTATTCCCAAGAACTTAAAACCTACAAAACTTCAAAAAAAAATCCAATGTCTACCTCCTCTCCCTATCCTCCCTATATATAGGTGCGCACGATGTCCTTCAAATATTATATAGGGATTCCCTTTCCTGCACTCCAAGCGATAAAAAAAGTAGTTATATGCCTTTCATGATTGTATCAAAGGAAAAAATACTACTAGTTTGCCCATTTAACGACACTTCAGCTTCAATAATAACCAAAAGCATCCAAAAGATAATAAGCAATATTGCCGACTCAATTTTGAAAACCCTCTGTATTATACCGCAGGTTGTTCATAAATTTTCTTCAAATCTACATTGATTCTAATTAATTCGGCCTAGCCTGAGGTATCTCTAGTTCACTCAGTAGATTTCATAGCATGTTTCTCGAGCCATTGTCGTTCTAAAGTACAACATATATACAGTTCTCAACACTCTAAAGTCTAAATTGACCACTCATAATTTGACTCAATTTCGAAAACCTGTATTTTTTGAAAAAATTGTCCGTTCTTCATGCGGTTTTCCATATCAGATGTGATATTTCATCGGCTTCAAAGAGAGCTAGAACAATCTGAAAAAGTCCGCTGAACAAAATACACAGGGTGTAAAGCAGTGGAACCATTACACTATGGTCTACATTTCGAATGCTGCCAGAACTCGAGAATTTTTTTCTGATCAAAAGTCAGTCGTATTATGTTACACTGGGGACCTCATCTCGGGACCACAGATTAACAAATTGTTAATCTGTGTCGGGACTTTCTCGTGATTTCTCCTTAATTGGCCATTGGAACAAAATTTAGATTTTTTTTCGAAAGTCTTGCATTTCTTGAATTTTTTCTCTAGAACTCCACTTGAGCTGACTATTGGAAAGAACTGTTCTCATGTTATTTTGTGGAGGACAATGAGAGATAAAAAAAGCACTCTTGTGGAATATACAGGATGATAAGGAATAAATAGGACAAAACCTCATTTCAGTAAAAAAAAAAAAAATGGTGACTAAAACCATGGCCCGTTAGATTCAGTACATTCAGAAACGGCCTTCTCGATATCCATTATTTGTATTAGACTATTAACTCGAGAAGTTTTCGAAAATTCGCCTCTAATTGAAATATACAGGATGAAAATTTTCAATTCAAACTTGTTTCCTGACATCGATGATTCTTATCAACTGATTTCCAATATTTATTGTCCAAGTATGAGACACAGAGAGTATTGTTGTTCAATATACTGAGTTGTGTTTCACAACTTATCTGACAAATTTCAATCATAAAACTACGATATTACATAAGAAGTATCACATAAAGATTTTATAGGAGTAAGACGAGATGGAAAATGAGATTTATAACACTTTATATATCCACTAAAACTATCCGAAATGGACTCTATTGGCGAAATATAACATTACTACTGAGTTCTTCAGCATTATGAAGATCCAACTAGAAAGTCCTATATCCTAAATTTCAGTACTTGGTAGGGCCTTCCCGATTCAACAAAACCTCATGAAATCGGTTTGGCATAGATTATTCTATGAGGTTGTTGATGAAGTCTATTGATATGGCCTCCCATTCTTCTGATACAGCTTGGATAAGGTTGTCATTATTTTGGAGTGCCTCTCGCCTTCTCGATAAGTTGAGTTGCATTCGGCTCCACACATTATGTTCAATCAAATTCAGATCTGGAGATAATGCTGGTCACCACATTGTTCTAACATTATTGTTTTCTAGAGATCGTTAATTTGTCAGATGAGTTGTGAAACACTCATCAGTATATTGAACAACAATACTCTGTCTCATACTTGGCAATAAATATTGGAAATTAGTTGATAGGAATCATCGATATCAGGAAACAAGTTTGAATTGAAAATTTTCATCCTGTATTTCAATTAGAGGCGAATTTTCGAAAACGTCTCGAGTCAATAGCCTAATTTAAATAATGGATATCGAGAAGGCCGTTTCTGAATATACTGAATCGAATGGGCCATGGTTTTAGTCACCATTTTTTATTTTTTTTTACTGAAATGAGATTTTGTCCTATTTTCTTATCATCCTGTATATTCCACAATAGTGCTTTTTTCGTCTTTTATTGTCCTCCACAAAACATGAGAACAGTTCTTCCCAATAGTCAGCTCAAGTGGAGTTCTAGAGAAAAAATTCAAGAAATGCAAGACTTTCGAAAAAAAATCGAATTTTTGCTCCAATGGCCAATTAAGGAGAAATTACGAAAACATCTGGAGATGAGGTCCCAGTGCAACATAATATGAATGACTTTTGATGAGAAAAAAATTTCTCGAGTTCTGGCAGCATTGGAAATGTAGACAATAGTGTAATGGCTCCACTTTACACCATGTATAAGTTTTGTTTTTCAGGGTGTTCTAGCTGTCTTTGAAGCCGATGAAATATCACATCTGTAATCGAAAACCGCTTTTAGATCGGTCAATTTTAAAAAAAAATACAGGTGTTCGAAATAGAGTCAAATTATGAGTGGTCCATTTAGTGTGAGAACTGTAGTTAGGTAGTATCCTCCTTGAGTACTAGAGGTCGCTACCAGGTTTCCATTTAGATCGACAATGGTTGAGCAAATGTATGTATTATACTATATTAAATAGATTAAATTTATAATTCTTATTATCGCATCATTAAATTTAATAGGTTTATTATGATCTGAAGCATCTGTTACATTCACCAAAGTTGGCCTAATTCATAAATCCCTTTCAAAATGTGCCTCACAGCCTTTACAGGAATAATATGCATGGGACCATTAAAAATAATTTCTTTGGTACAAAAAAAGTTTTTCTTTCATAAATATAATGTTTTTCCTCATGAATTACGACCATCTCTGTGAAAAGTGAATGAATTAATAACATGAGAATAAGAGAATATAATAAACGCGTCAACCAGATTTTTGTTTTTATTTAAAATTTTGTATTCCTCCTACCCAATTACAATATTTGAATGTATATATAGATTCATAGATAAAAACAGGAAATAAATATTAAACAATATATCTTTTCAACAGAGCATTATAAAACATACACTTTCACTCTAAGATCGACTAGATTTTATGAAGTTGATGAGTCCATTGGTGGAACCATCATGAGATGAAACAGGATTATTGTCTTGAAGTTCCGGCTCAATAGCTTTGGCCAACTGCTTTCCCAGTTCTACCCCCCATTGATCAAAGGAGTTGATATCCCAAATGATTCCCTGAGTGAAGATCTTCTGCTCATATAAAGCTGAAAGAGGAAAAAACTAATGTGATGAAGTTGAAAATTTCATAACTTCATTTTATACCAATAAGAAAACTTTTTGATTACGTTAGTAATAGTAACGGATGACTATCGCAATAATTTTGTTCTGTCCTATTTTCTATGTTATTTATGTTATTTATTGAACAAATAACTTCCAGACAGAATAGGCTCTGGTATAAGGAAGTACATAATTATATATACCTATAGGTAAACATATCATCATTCGAAATATATCAACAACTGTAAGTTGACAAACAAAGAATAATATTTGTAAAAAAAATGGCATGATTAATTTTACCCAGTTCGCTCAGGAATAATCGTTTTTTTTTTACTTTATTTTTGAATGTACCTATAAGTCTGCAATTTTTTATATTGTCAGGTAGTTCATTGAATTCAGTTAAGGATGAATGAGTGAATCTTTTTTGTCCAATTATGGAGCTAGCGGCGTCAAGATGAAACAAGTTATATTGTCTAGTTTCATGATTATGAATTTCGGAATTCCGTATCAAAATAATATTGGACTTCAATTTTTTATTTATGATATTATATGATATTTTAAGAGTTTCAATTCTATATATTTCATCTAAAGAATACGTATTTGTTATTTCATACAATTGATTGGTTGGTGTATCAAATGGGAGACAATACAATACTTTTAACGTTTTTCTATATACTTAATGTTGATATTTTATTCAAATTATTTTTTGAACAAGATCCCCAAACATTTATCAAATAGTTGATACGACTCAGTATATGGGAGTAGAGGGTCATTTTTGCAATTTTAATATCAAGTTTAGGACATCTTCTCAATTTTTTTTTTGTCAGAACATCAATATGTTTGTCCCACTTCAAACTGTCATCAAACCAAATACCAAGATATTTTATCTGGTCAGTTTGTTTTAAGAGTTCATTTTTTATTTTAAGGTTGGGGTAAATTTTTTGTTTATTTTTTTGGTGAAAAATCCACTGTTTTCTTGAAAACCAAATTGATTAGAATCAAAGATTTATTTTTTGTTGATGAATTCTACAATTCGTTTATGTGAATTTTTTCAAAAATTTTGGAAAATATGCTTATTAAAGCTATTGGTCTATAGTTCATTGGATCCTGAGCATTTGCATTTTTGTAAATAGCTCTTACTGATGCAAGTTTCAATTCGTGTGGGAAACTTTCTTTTATGAAAGAATCATTGAACAATTTCATGAATTATAGAAATGATTTTGCTTTCATCAGTGGGAAAAAGAAGCATTGTGGAATCATTATATTGTGGAGAGACATTTTGACGTGGAAGATTATTATAATACGATATTATTTTCTTTGCTATATTCTCACCAATACTCGAAGAATGATAATTCATAATTTTGGATATTTCTAGTTCATTATTGACAATGTTACCATGAATTTTTATCGATTCAATATCACTATATCTGTTTGATTTTGTGGAACCTCTCAAACAATTATCGTATCCCAAAGTTTTCTTTGATTACCTTCAGAATTTTCAAATTTTCTATTGATATGTTGAGCTTTCGCTCTTTTTATCAGAGCATTAACTTTATTCCTATGTATTTTGTATTCATCAAAAAGCGTGTAATCTGACAAGCGTAGTGTAATTGAAAAGTTATGTGTTGGCAGCACCAGCATGTAGACCATAAACCGAAGTTCCTACCTATGAGAACCCCCAACGTGAACGGCGTCACCCGCCTCACCACGATACTGTTCGTCGGCCTGTTGCCCTCGAACACCTTGTGCGGCAGGATCCGCCCCACCTCGTCCGCCCCCGTGCCCGCCCTTTCCAACTCGTCGCGCGCCTGCGCCTCCGCCTTGCCCGCCATCAGCGCCTCCGTCTGCGCCAGGAAGTTCGCCAGCAGGATGCGGTGGTGCGCGCCCCCGCCGATCGGGTTGTGCGACTGCGCGGGCGCGATGAAGTCGGCGGGGATGAGGCGCGTCCCCTGGTGGATGAGCTGGTAGAAGGCGTGCTGGCCGTTGGTGCCCGGCTCGCCCCACACGATGGGGCCCGTGCTGTAGTCCACCTGGAAATGGGGAACATGATTATGGCCGAGAAAGAGATTGGTCTTCAACACAGACATATAATACAGAAATAGAAATACATTATTTCTCAACATGACATACATGTGTTGAAAGTATATGTGAGTGATTAAATGTTACAAAGATCATAATTGAAATTGCTCATCTTGGAGGTATTCATCAACTGTATAGTAAGCTTTACCAATGAGAAGTTCTTTAATTTTATGTTTGAACGCTCTAATGGTAAATGATTTGTAGACATTCGGTAGTTTGTTGTACAGTGAAGCTGCCATATAGGAACAATGCTTCTCCGACGATGACGTGGAAGAATTATGAGGTAATTTTTTTGCCTGGTTTCCGCATTACTGAAATTGAAATGATTTTTATTCATATGTACATATAAAAAATGTTGAAAAATATATATACAAGGAACCATTAGTATTCTCAGTAGAATAAAATTATTTTTACATGTATCATATCGACTTATTTTGCATATTATCCTGATTGCTCTCTTTTGAATTCGGAAAGTAGATATCCAGTCGGTTGAATATCCCCAGCAGAATGTACCATAGGATATTTTACAGTGGAAAGAAGCATAGTATAACATTTTCAGAATAGGGAGACCCATGTTCATCATTGCTCTCAGAGAATAGCAGCTCGTGTTGAGTTTCCTATTCAGAATGGAAATGTGCTTTTTCCAATTCAATTTCTTGTCAAGAATGAAACCAAGCGATTTTATGTCTTCTGTGTATTTAACGTTGAACTTTACTGTATCAATATGTAATTTCAGTTGTGGGTTGTATTATTCTAGGTTAATTTAGGATCTTGTTTATGATTATCAGTATGCAATGATATTCAGGTTGGCAATTTGAATGTTAATTTTAAAAATAGATTTTTTTTATTATCTGTCCTTCAGTATTGCATGTTAATTCCAATTGAAAAAAAACATTGTGTAACAAAATAAAAGCCACTTTAGAAAAAAGTGAAAATTTAAGGAGACTAATTGTGATTTTTCAAGTAGAAAGAATGAATTTGATGAATGGATTCTTGAACATCAGATTATTCTTTGGCAAGATGAGATGTATTCAACTTATTGATGCATGTTTCAAATACAATACAGTCATTTTTTGAATATGCACCAATCATAAAGATTCACTTTCAATCAATTACTGGCTTGATTCTTGGAGATACCTATGAACTTGTTGGCATGACAATTTACTAACCAATTTTCCACTCCTGGTGACATATTTTCCATTGCTCTCCATATCACCCTGCTGAAAATATGCAGCAAATCTGTGGAGGTATTGGTCATATGGAAGAAGAGCATGTGTTTCAGCACCATAAAAGTTATCATACCAAACTCCTAGTAGAGCCATAATAACTGGAACCTAAAATATTATTAGCTCACTGAGATTACTTAAATACATAATCTGATATAAATCATTATTATCTGTAGAATATTTCTTGGCACCAAAAGAATTCTAATATGTGAATATTTTTTTCAATTCAAAATTTTTCCATACATTTTTTTCCAAGGGTGCAGTTTGGAAATGCTGATCAAGGAAGAAAGCTCCATCAAGAAGTTGGGTGAAGTTTTCAAATCCAATTGACAAAGATATACTCAAACCAATGGCAGACCACAGTGAATACCTTCCTCCAACCCAATCCCAGAATCCAAACATATTGGCAGTATCTATTCCAAATTCAGAAACTTTTGCAGCATTTGTACTCAAAGCTACAAAGTGTTTGGCTACAGAACTAGGCTAAAACATGTTTTTTATCATTATAACTATTGTCTGATGTTCAGTAGTAGGCACAACATACATCATTGGAAGTTGCCAAAAACCAGTCTTTGGCAGATTTAGCATTTGTGCATGTTTCTTGTGTGGTGAATGTCTTTGAAGCAATAATAAACAGGACAGTTTCAGGATTTACTTTCTTCAGTACTTCAGCCATATGGGTACCATCAATGTTAGAAACAAAATGTAAATTTAAACCTTTGTTGAATGGTTTAAGAGCCTCAGTGACCATCAGTGGGCCCAGATCTGAACCTCCTATTCCAATATTGACAACATCTGTGATTTGCTTTCCTGTATATCTAAAAAGTATTTATTGAATAACCTTTTCAGAACATTGAAATATGTTTTAGTCTAATTGAAATGTTCAAACTGAAACCAGGAAATGTGTTGAATCAAAATATGTTTTCTGCTCTCATTCAAAATCAAGAAATTGGGAAATAATCTGCTCCAATGATTTTACAGCAGTAATGTAAAATAATGCAATGACAATATTTTAGGATATTATCTTTACAACATACCCTTTCCACTCTCCACTGAGGATAGAATTAGTGAACTGTTTCATATGCTCTAGAACTCCATTTACATCAGGCATTACATCCTTTCCATCAACCATTATGGGTCTATTAGATCGATTTCTGAGGGCTATGTGCAAAACAGCACGATTTTCAGTGAAGTTTATCTTACCACCATTAAACATGATATCTCTTGCCTCTTCAACCTTTCTTTCTCTGGCCAGGTCCAGTAAGAGTTTGAATACCTGATCATTGATTCTGTTTTTGGAGAAATCAATAAGGATATCACCATCATTGGGAGTAGATAATTTTAAACTGTAAATAAAATACACTTTCAAGTAATTTTATGCAGCAGTTGAAGTCTTCACAAAGTCATTTAAAGGTCAGATTCGGTCAGAATATATTATAGAAAAGGTATAGGTATAAACTTACCTGTACTTATCAAACCTGTTCGGATCTTGAGCGAATAATTCTTTTATAACAAGACCTTTCCCATTTTTATTATAATAATCCTGCAAATTTTGCCAGGCAGTGGTAGAGGTTAAAAATTGTTTTGCTTCCATTTCGGTGGCACCTTTTCGCTCAGAAAAGTCAAGTCCTTGACCTTGTGCTCCTATCTGAGCTCCTATCCTTGATGCTTCTGCGCGAGCGCGACATTTAGCTCCAGTAGCGGCACATTTGTTATTCATAATGATTGCTTGTCTATTTCAAAACAATATGAAATTAATCAAATGATATATCATTATGATTTGAGGTCCTATAAATGCAATTCGCTTCCTTGAAAAACTGAAATTTTACAATTCTACATTTCAAAATATTATGACAAAGATGACGTTTACGGTCAAATAAGAGTACGCCACCTATCGGAGTTCTTGAATGTTGTTTCCAAAGTTTTCATAGGTCCACATTTGTTTTTGCTTATTCAAAACACACCGCAGCATTATTCAAGTTTTTGCCATCGGTAGAGCAACGTTTTATTTTCCAAACCTTTGTCCGAACGTGGTCAGATTCGAAATTCACCAACTGTTGCATATTGGTCGAATGATGCATTGTGTATCAAACCAATAAAATCAAATTGATTCATTCATTCATTCATCATAAATTTGATGGACGGACATCGCCATCACGATTGAATTAAGCAATTATTCATTTTCCACTAATGAAAGTATCAATCGACTCGAACGACTCTATTTCGTAAATTTCGTAGCTGATTTGTGACTGTATTATATTGTTTGACGGATACTTGAACTGACGGATGAAGTCAACTTACCTACAGAATTTTGTACATAAAATCGTAGAACTCATGTAGCTGGTCATTATTATTTCTGTTCAAGCGGAGTTTTTCATGAGAATTAGAAAAATATTGTACGTAATACGTTAGGATTGTTAGGAAACTCATTTAGTGTAAGTCTATGTTTTGCGGAAACTCGCTTCGCTTAATGTCCCGCAAAATTCCATCGTCACACAAAATGACGCGTTTCCCAACTGGTTACATAAATATCCTTTACAAAATTCAAGGGATTAGTAGAAAAACGTTTCGCCCATGGCCATGGGTTTTGTCAATTTATTAATATTTAGTTAATCTGTAAATAATGGTTTTCATTGAGAATGGTTTACATGGTGGAATGATAGTGATGAGATCTGAATCAAAATAAAGAGAGAGATACGTACCTCAACCAATTCATAATTTCAGTGATTTATTAAAGTTGTGGTGTTCGTGTGGAAATTTTTATTCAAAAATACTATTTTTATTTTCCATTTCTTTTTTCTTTTGGAGAAAGTTGAAAACATTTTTGTTTCATCGTTTCATGTGAATTAGAAAAACGAGGGAAACTACGATTTGTTGAGGTTAATTTGGAACTGTTTGTCATGAAAATGCAAAAGACATTTGACTGAAAATAATGAAAGATGACAAAAAGTAATATTCTTTCAATCTGAACTAAAATTGAACTGAATCGTTCTTTCGAATGACATTCATCATGTACAATACAAGTCAACTGATTCAGTTCAGTTGAAGTAAAATGTGTCAGTTAGTTCAGGCTGTGTCAAGTCATCCGTGGTGATACCAGAATGGTCATTGGCTGACTGGACTCCCACGTGGTAACTTTGTGGGTAGGTTTGAAACGTGACCAATTTTTCCAAACAGCTGATTGGTCAAACTGATGGCCAGACTTTATACTGAACGTATGTACCCGGTTGAACCGTGGTTGAACCACAGACTTGACATAGCCTCGTATGGAAGAATATCACTGTTGTATAATTTTAAATATACCTAGATATACGTGGATAGAGTAGCTCCACCAATCGGAAATTCATGGAATTATTTCCATTTCCATTATAACTATAATTGATATTGTAACAAACAAAGCGCGTCGTCAAACAAGGATATACATCTCAAACTTCCTGCACAGCAATTACAAATAATAATCCCAGGACTACGAAAGCGTACAGGACAGATACTTGTAGGCAGACATAATATTCAATCCAAATATTTTGACTCAACATTGTGCTGAAATTGCTGACTATCAAAAGGGATAGTGTGGCTGTGGCCAATGAACTCGATGAGTGTGGATTCAGTCAGAGATAAGTTACCCACATGTGTGCTGAATATATTTTCGGAAATCCAACTCGAAGAATTCATGGAGTGACTAATATAAACTATGTATAAAACTTCGTCTAGGACGAGAAGTAGGCTGATAAAAAGTAATACGTAAAATGTGCAGGGAAATAAAGAATAGAATATACTTCACTCCCATGTTATACATATGATTCTACCGTCTTCCTTAAATAAAAAGTCATTTTCGAATAATTTATTAATGAAAGTAACAAACAAGTAGGTATACGCAGTATAACTTATAGGCACGTTATTTCCACTCTTGCATCCTACATAATATTTTCTATTTGTGATAGAGTAGTAATTATATAAACTAATGTATTTCGCCATATTGGATCCGTCGTCATCTTGGATTTTATAATTTTGACGAAACAATCATTATCTCTCACCCCGAAAACCCTCAGATATCAATTTTAAATAGAATCGGATCTTGATCACAAAACTTGTTCGCCATATGATCTTTAAAATTTCGAATAATTTTTTGTAGCGCCCATGGATGTGACGTGACAGCAATGTCAGGGATGCCAGTAGACAAAACTAAAGTCTCTATATCATTAAAAAAGAATGCAGCTATGATCTGTCCGTACCCTGTTAAGATGACTTTAATGTCAATTTCCATCAAGAGACCCTAATCAAAGGTAACCTAACAGATAGTTTGTGTGCCCCTCAAGAAACCATGTCAAAATCACGTGTTCTAGAATGATCAATTATTAAAGTAATTGACGCTGAGAATGATATGACAATACAATGAAAATTGGAAACGTGTTCCGGATTACAGCACTGTATTTTTGATTTTATATTTCATAACACAATTTTTCAGCAGTCAGTGGATTCACTGACATGTTTTCTCGTAGTTTTTATGTCATCGCAACGTCAGATGATGACCTTGGCACCACGATTAACCTTAATTTTAATAACCCTGAATACTGATGCAATCTGGGAGGGTCTGGGGTCTCAGACCAGGCATTTTAAAACTCTAACCGCTACTACGCCACTGGACAATAAAAATTAGGAAGAACAGTTGATTGAAGGAACGTCGTCAGTTGACAGTGACAATTAATGTTTGACAGTTATCAGGCATGTTTTAGGTTAGTGGTTACAAAATTTTTGATTTTGATTTCAAAATCTTTTTCTATCCAAATAGTCCATTGAAAAATGGTCGTTGGAGCTTTTCCTGCAGCCAAACTTGGTACACTTTTACTGAAACAAATTAGCAAACCAATTGCCAATGCTGTAAAAAATCAAGCTAAAAGTTCACCTGTGTTTCGGAAATATGTGTGTATGCCTCCAGCACAGTGTAAGAAAACATTATTTGAATATAATAGATTCCTGCATGTACTCAATGATACATTTCAGTTTACAATTGGTGTGAAGTCAAGGCAAAAATGTGGATACTCAATTTAGGAAAACCTGTAAATATCCCAATACTCAGTGAAGCAATGGCTATTGAATTAGGTGCAAATTTATTAGGAGAGGGAATCATTTTCATAATAGCTGCAGGTATTCTGATTTCAGAATACAACAGGTTTGTTCCAATTGACAATGATCTTCAATACAAGCATAATATAATTGATGAACAATATACTTTTTCAAGGTCAGCAAATAAAGAGGCTGCCAAAGAGACTGCTAAACAAGAAGAAATGAACCAATTACAAAACACAATAAGGGAGCTATTCATTCAGTCAGAAGAACAAGGAGCACATCTCAGAGAACTCACTAGAAAAATAATAGATTTAGGTAAATAAAATAATTACTATTCAGCTTATTTCATGTCATACTTAGGTACCCAATTTCAGAAAGCAGATTAAGTAATCCTTTAGTACAACCAAAGCCACATTCAGCAAATCTACCTATAACTGATAAAAATATCATTCAGAGTACCATAGAACACAGAGAAGTAATCCATAACAATAGTCACTATCCTACATTTTCATCAAAATCAAATGGTCTGATTTTGAAAGCTGTGGATGATGTTCATAATCAATTTTGGAGTTACCCACTTCTAGAGAGAGAAGATAGTTTTTTAGTTTCGGTTTTATACTATTTACAAAAGCTATTGAGGCTTGGACAATAGGTAATTATTCTGAAAGCTCTAGTCATTCAATAATGAAAATGAAATTAATTTGATCTACAGGCTGTCCCTGCAAAGTCTCTACAGAAACTTGTCACATATTCCTCAGACTAAAACAATTAGGTACAAGCAGACTTACCTTAGTACAAAGTTGCTTAGTTTGAGCACTAGATGGCTCTGAAATTACAATTTTCAAATCATTTTTGCTTCATAACTTTGAAGGGCTCATGGGATTTCACTCAAATTTGGTATGTTGGCATACCTTTATCAGGCATTAAAACCCATATCATGATTATGATTAATATCATTCCATGGGCTTTGAACTTGATTTTTTCAGTTAATAAAAATATTTAATTTCTATGCCAATTGAAAAAAAAAAGTTAATTTAATATCAAATTTGGATTGCCTAACTTGTTTTCCACAAATGAGTACTCTTGAGAAAATTCAATTACTCTCATGGTTTGGACAGAATTTGAATTTTGGTAATTGATTGTTTTTATCATCCCAAGAAACATATCTGTTTATAATAGGGATACATGAACACATATAAAAAATGATAATATAATATATCAAAAGGTTAACCAATGAATTCCACTCACACATTTAAATTCTGAGTAATCAATCATGTCAATATATTGATTTAGAAATTTTCTAGGTTTGTATAAATTCACTGTTGGTTCTAGACAATTTAGATAAAAAATGCACTTAATTGATTTGTTTTGTTCATTAGTGGTTTGAGGTGTGAAATATTTGTGCGCCCCAAATAGAAATTAAATATTGTAAATCTGAATATATGAGGCAAAAGTAAATTACACTAGGTATTCTACAGGAATGATATTTCAGATTTTGAATAAAATGCCTATGTTTGGATTTATTTTCTTTCTCATATGGTCTAGGTGTTTGGTCCTCAATAATTTTTCATCAATATAGAGACCTAAAAATTTTTTTACCTCAGTATATTTGAATAATCTTTTGTTGAAAGATATTGCATTATTCAAAATATTGCATCAGTCAACACCAAAACAATTAGCAGATATTTCATAAATTTTTTTCAAAACTAATGAAATTTTGAACAATAATGCTTTGGATAACTTAATTTAATTTTTTTCAAATCCATGAGAATATGGAATTATATCAAGAGTACTTTTTTTGTAGTAAACAAGTTAGGCAATTCAAATTTAATATTCAAACCACTTCCTTTCCATTGGCGTAGAAGTTATAGACATTTATTTACTGGAAAAATAAAGTTCTACGCCTCTGGAATGATATTCATCTTGATCATGATATGGATTTTATTCCCCAATTAAGCTGTGCTAACATACCAAATTTGAGTAAATTTTCATGGGCCAGTTTCAGAATTATGAAGAAGAATCGATTTGAAAATTGTAACTTCCAAACTGTCTACTGCCCAAACTAAGCAACTTTGTACTGAGGTAAGTTTGCATGTATGGAATTGTTTTGGTCTGAGGAATATGTGATAAGTTTTTGTAAATACCTTTCTAGGACACCCTCTATTATTTATCATAAGATGAAAGTAGTGTACAAGAATATTGAGATATAGGTAATAGAAACAGGAATGTTTTATGGATGAATCTTACTAATCTTACCACTGAACATGTACATATGAAATATTTTGTGTTATTGAATAATTCTAAGGTCATAATATAATAAAAGTTTTTGTTTTGGTTAGTTACATAGTTCAATAAATTACCTATTATCAAACAGAATTGGTATGGAATATCGTCCTTGGCAGAAATGAAATTGAAGTATATTTCTTGTAAAAAGAGTATAATAAGCAAATGGAAATAATATCACTGAAAATACCATCACTTTTCACGTATTCCATTATTTTTGAGCATTCTCTGTAAACTTGCTATTTTATCTTCTAATATTTTATAATCCAAATCTTTTTGCTTCAATTTCTTTGTATGAGATACCCCTCTAGATAGCCTTGAACTAGCTCGGGAACTTGCTCTTGATTCTGCACTGCTACATCTGGATTTCATTGAAGATTTACTCTTTCGAGGTGTTGGACTAGGAGTTCTAGATCTCAAATTGATATCAGGAAAGTCAACCAGTTCAGGATCAACATATTTATTGCTGGAAATTGAACTGTCTCTGCTTATATTTTGTTTTGTACCACTTTTAGAAGACCTGGGAAAGAAATATCTTGAGTAGTAAACATATATCTTTAGTAGTGTTACTATTTCTCAGGAATAATTCCAATATTGTTATATCTGTAAGACATAAAAATGAAAATAATTAATTTAAATAATCAAAATTTGGTAGTTATCATAAATAAGTCAGTTGTTCCATTTTCTTGTATCTCAATTGGCAGATAGAGAAATCAAGAACATAGCTAACTTTGATAGATAAAGAACAGATTATAGTGTCAAGAATCAAATTGATAGTTTCTGGAAATAATGTTACCTTTGCTTATCCCAGATGCTTTTTGACTGTGAACTTTTCACAAGTTGTTTTGATCCAACTTTTTTAACGTCTGTATTGTCAAAGACTGGTGATTGGCTTCGTTTGAACATAGTTTTGATACTGTGGTGTGATCCTCTATTTGCAAAGGGGAATGAATGATCACCCAATCCCATCCTTCAACAAATTACCATCATGAGTAGAATACACAATGTGTTGAATAGTGAAGAAAACAGAATGTTTATCATTTTAGTATTATTATATCGGGTGACACAGAATCATCGTATCTCCCCCCCCCTTTACTCCTTTGTTTTTCTATCTATATTTCTGAAATTTGGAATATGGAATATGTTCACGAAAGGGCGCTTTCTCACATTTTAGGGATTCTTCTCCGTCTCTCGGTTTTCCTGGAAATGACATCAACTTTCCATTTCCAAATGGAACACCCATATTCCATAATCGGTTAGGGATCACTATAATGAATTCAACGATACAGGTTTTGATTGGGTTTTTCAAACGATTTCGAAGATATTCTCATTCGAAGTTCGAAGTTCACATATGTTCAATAGGTTTGACGGCTCATTATAGAAACGACTTTCTCTGTCACACTCATTGAGCTTATGGAAACTTCACCTGATGAAGCTACTGTGTTAGCGAAACATGTCGTGTGACTAAGACTTTTGGGGAAATCTTATCGTTTGTGAAGGAGAAAAGGGGGGTATACGATGAATCTGTATCACTCGGTATAGGTACCTTGATCCCTGACTAACTCTATTCAATTTGACCTTCAAACATTTTTCAGAACATTTGACTTTTTCCAACTCCTTTGCTAGGTGTATTTTATCATTTCTCAATTTCTCTACCAACTCGTGATGTGAACTTCTTTCATTGACAACGCATTTTTCTAGATTGCTTACTGCTTTTTGTAAAGATAATACTTGTGTTCTTGGTTTCTTCTCTAGGAATTTACTTAACTGCCGTATTTCTTCTTGAAGCTGTACATTCTCATCTGTTAATTCATCCACACTAAAAATATTCGATTTATCAAAATTTATCAAAATTTCTTTCCGAATAATTTTTCACCGTTTCTGAAGATAATATATTTTTTTGGCTTCACTATTGTTAGATTTCACAGCTAACTCCTCTTTAACTTTTGATAGTTCACTTTCCAATCTTCGTATTGTTGATTGCAAAATCAATGGGTCAGGTGGACCACAATATTCCAAGGGTAAAGGATATCGTATCCTTGAAAAATTATTATTCACATATATGTTATTTCAGTGATTGAAAAAATCTTACTTATCAAATTCTACGACATATGTAACTATGAGATATCTTCTATTGTTGTTATTTGGCCCAACTGATTTTGTGATTTTTCTAGATCTTAACATTTCCAGATCTTCAAATGTGAGTAAATCCAAAGTTACACTTTCACTCGTCTAAAAACTTATCAGTAAGTATTTCATCTCATTGTTAAATTACCTATGCCTATTGATAATGCTGTTTATTTAAATTCTTTTAGGTGGAAAAAGTAAAGGGGAGAAAAATTCAATGTTTTGAAATTGCAATTGGCGATCAGTGAAGCACTTTAAGGTAAGCTGAAACTTTCATACAATTTTTATGCTCCACTCTACTATTTAGTTTATTAAGCTGTACTTATACATACCCTCAAAAGACCTGATTTAATCATGGCTACAAAAATATCAAATTGTTTGAAGTTCCCTGTTTTATGGGTAAGATTTTCTATATCTGAAAGAAGAAAATCATTGAGTTGATTCAATGTTTTTAAACTAGCTCTCATACACACATGTGGCATCGTAACTACATTGCCATTCTTCTCCTGAGCTCTTATCAGTCACTAATATTTCCAAATTATTACATACGATGTTCATTTTGAACAAATATTCTTGTCCATGGAAGTTGCAAGTAGTTACCAAGTTGGGGTCGCCCATTTTATAAAATTATTTGAAGTTAGTTTTTGAAACTTTGAAATTTTGACCTTTTTTCACTGACAAATCAATTATTGATTATGCTGTTCGAAGGCCACTGTCATGAGATGATGTCATAAGCTTCTCACTGAGTGATTCAATTTCACTGAATGCTATCAAATTGAAATACTCATATTTTGTACGATGGCGAAAAATATATCTACTGTTTGAAATTTCGATGTGGTGTACAACTTTTTTCCTCACCCTGTACATATCGATATCATGCAATCACGCACAGTACTTGAATTGAGCTCTTTTCTACCTCGAACGAAAGAGAGGAACGTTCTCCCCTCTTCTATCTTTCTCTTCAATGCTACCAACGTGGCCGCATTGAAATATAGAGAGGTCCGATAAATCTTTCCTTTTCTAACATCTAGTCTGCGCCACTGAACTTATTTTCGATGTTATTCGCGATAGAAAATAGCACGTCACTCCACCTGACGGTAACAACTTGAACTCTGAGCGGTTTGTTTTGATGATGTGACCAATAAGCACAAACAAAAAACAGATGTGAACCAATGAAAAGAAAGTAAAGAGGAAATTTCTCTCCTCTTTCATATTTCTCCTCAATGTTACCAACTTGGCCTCATAGAAATATAGAGAGATCCGATAAATCTTTCCTTGTCTAACCACTAGTCTGCGCCACTGCAAAACACCAGAATCGAAAGTGAAAATTCAAAATTGAAAAAATCTAAACTTAGTGGGTTACATTCATGGCGGTCATGGCGTCCATATAATGACTCATAAATTCATTATTAGCTAAATAAACAAAACTATTGAATATTCCTGATACAGGTCGATTCTTGATTTTGAACAATCTGATATACAGAGTGAAACCTTCGTGTGATGACGTTAACTCATTTTTGAATTAATAGATCACCCGATTTTTTTTTATTTCCGGATTTTCTTGATTCCAGAGATTTATCACACGTTGTTTCAAATTGATAGAAAGTGGGAATCTGTTTTTTTCGATCTTTGTTAGTTGAATTTCATCATATTCCATTTCCATAACTATATTTACCATTTGATTGGCTGATGATCGGTTTATTGCAGCACGAAACACGTCCCTTCATGACATCGGGTTTTCATGTATGATCCATTATGAATGTTTAGTTTCCATTGAATGATCATAAACAACAAGGAATTTTCAATAGTTCTGTTGATTTAGCTAATAATGACCTTATGCGTCTCTTTTTGGGCAAACTATATCTATTTCTTTCTACAGGATTTATCTAAATAACACTGAAAAATTTCAAGCGGTGATTCTTTGTGATATTATTGGAAATCAAGTTCATATAAACATGTGTCCTAACTTTCTTCGTTTTCGAGATACAGGGTATTTATATTTCCATGAAAAACCTTTTTTCTATTCATTTCTAAATTGTCTTTTTCTACAAACGTCAAAAAATGACAAGGTTCGCGCATTGATAACAAACTGCGAAGTGACACTTTTTTCAGTTTCCTACGTTACCATGATACCTCGCACAAAACAATGCGCGAAGTAAAACAGTGCGCGAAGTACCTACTTCGCGCATATTGTTATGTAAAAAATATAAGATATTTATATTTCAACTTTATGGTCCTCAATCGAGCAAACATCCACGAAATGATTTATTTCTGAATGTTCTACAATAACTTTGTTTTATCTCTTGGAGCGCACTAAAGGAAATTCCTTTTATGTTGGTGGAACATCGTGCGTACCTATGGAGGATAGGGGGAGGCCTTTCAAGCTAGTTGAACACTATTTTTTATATCAAGCTGAGCAAATTTTTACTTTAGACTTTAGATTGATGTTTGTAGAAAAAATTTTGTTTGCAACTCGAGCGCGAAATACTTTGGTCATCTCGACTATTTTTTAACTCGGCTACGCCTCGTTAAAAAAATCAGATCTCGATCACCAAAGTAGCATTTCGCGCTCTAGATACAAAAATAACTATTTCATCAATTTTAATAAAACGTTGTGGTTCTGTTGATAGTAATATTGAGCTTCTTCTAGTGCAATTAGATTCGAAATAATATTTCCAGTGGCGTCACAATGGGTAAATTTATCGATATTTATGTTGAATGTCATTGCACACCGCCAGTTTTTCTGAGTTTCATATTTTTATTAGATTGAACTATTGAAATAATAAGATTTTTTATCCTTCGTGTGATTTTTGTATCTAGCTCAGTTTTTGAGGAAACAATAAAAGTTCGATTTGACTCCGAATTTTAATGTAGGTGTTTTCAACACTTCCATTGAGATTACTCAATAACCCCAATAAAAAGTTTTGGGACTTTCTCAGTCTCCATCCATACTTAATTTTGGCACCATGAAAGCTCATACAGGGGGTTATAAATAAAAACAATTAATACTCCCAACTTCAATATCCTGTATCTCAAAAACGGAGTTAGTTAGGAAACATGTTTATATAAACTTTATTTGCTAGAATGTCACAAGGAACACCCTGTATATCGTATTCCAAATGACTTTTATTTTTTTGTAGGTACCAAAAGCGATTTTTTGGTCCATAACTGATTCATTGTACCCTGTCTAAAATATCCTATATTTCGAGTAAATTCTGTATGAAAAAGGTCGAGTTTCGAATATGAGATTTCGAATTATCAACTAAGTCATGAATTTTGGTTTTTGCTCACGACTTATTGATATTGTATTTATTATTTGGACATCAAAACCACCCGCATAATGTTTCGTGATCACCCTGTATTTAATAACTTATCAAACGTATGCATTTCAAAACTTATCTGTTATCAGCAATACCTTCATGAATTCGCCAATGGATAATGAAAAAGAGAACGCGGATATAAAATATTAATATTTTTATCAAAATGCATACAAATACGAGCGTGTTTTATCATGACATTGTAGGTATTGGATTTCAGTTTCATAGGAAGCAAAATATAAAATGGGAAATCTAATCTCTTTTGCGAAATGATTCGTCCTTTGAATACGCATAGCTGAAGCAGCGTTTGTTTAGTGTCACATATAGCCATGTTGGCGCCTATAATAATGAGATTAAATTGTACAAAATATTTGTTTGTGTTACATTTCCAAAATATTTGAGAAAACATGCTTTGCTAATCGAACTTTCAAACAGAAGATACGTTACTGTTTTGTTTGTCTATTTACTTATGTAATTTAGTGAAGGGTTTCGGCCGTTTCTAAATGTGTGTGGTTTTGTCCTTAGACATTGATGAGAAGAGCTTTGTATAAACAGGCCAAAGTGTGGTTTAGAATTACATACTATAGATATATCATTAATCAGGTGAGTTACATTTTTTTTATATTTATAATAACATAAACAGATTATAGCCGACCACAAGTGGCCTATTTTCTTCTCTACAGGGTGTTTCATAGGTGAAGGGAAATATTTCAATGGTAGATAGGGGTCACCAAGGTGGTTCTGAAAATACCATATTTGATAGGTCTTAGAGTCTTCATAACGGAGATATAAGTATTGAACTACCCAGTATATTTTTCTTAAATTTGGCATGGAGCTTATACTTGGGACGTTGAATTCATTCACCAATCGGGTGAAGTGAAAATCCAGGTTCGGCTTCAGGAAAAATTTACATTTATTCGAAATATTAAAATAACACACTGTATGTAATAATTGACAGAGTTCATCGAAGGAATCGTGAAGAGGAGGAAAAACTGAACTGGATTTGATGCTTTTTGTTTTCCCGCCACCAATTCTAATCGTAACAATCATAAACAGAATGCTAAAAGTATGTCAATTTGAAGAGTATTGAAATTATGAATCTACTTTCAATTATGATTATTTGATATATTCTTGTTAAATGATCGTTCGAAAGAACTTACTCAGTCTCACAGTCTTTATAACAGAGATACAGGGTGAATTATCAGTTTCGATAAGTATTAGACTACCCATCGCAGTAATATTTTCTCAAATTTGGTATTGAGCTTACTTGGGACGATGGATTCATTGACCTATCAGGCAGAATGGCAATACAGGTTCAGCTTCAGGAAAAGTCTCATAGTATTTATAACAGAGATACAGGGTGAATCATCGAATTATAATTATTTGGTATTATTTCCATTCCGCCTGATAGGTTAATGAATCCATCGTTTCAAGTAAGCTACATACCTACCAAATTTGAGAAAATGTTACTGGGTAGTTTAAGACTTATAAAGACTGTGAGACTTAGTGAGTTCTTTCGAGCGAGTTTTTGACTGAAATATCAAATAATCATAATTGACACTGGTTTCATATTTCCAATACTCTTCAAATTGAAATACTTTCAACTTCCTGTTTATGATTGTTACGATGAGAATTGGTGGCGGGAAAACAGAAAGCATCATAAAAAATTCAGTTTTTCCTCCTCTTCACGATTCTTTTGATGTACTGTGTTGATTATTGAATACAGTGTGTTATTTTAATATTTCGAATAAATGTGAATTTTTCCTGAAGCCGAACCTGGATTTTCACTGCGCCCGATAGGTGAATAAATTTAACGTCCCAAGTATAAGCTCCCCACCAAATTTGAGAAAAATATACTGGGTAGGTCAATACATATAGACGAATGAATATTTATTCGAAATCGATAAATCGCCCTGTATCTCCGTTATGAAGACTCGAAGACCTATCAAATATGTTATTTTCAGAACCACCTTGGTGACCCCTAGGTACCAATGAAATATTTCCCTTTACCTATGAAACACCCTGTATAGTCGATAGTAAGTGAAAATTAAATTTGTGATGTGCTTTCTGCTAGTTTCATCGTACGATAATTAAAAACGAATTATGAAGTGAATAGTAGTACATTATATACCTAGGGAATAACGGGAGGGCTATAATTTGTCGAGGGATTTAAAAACACTGTAGTCCCGAGGTGTATATACTATTTTATGCACTTCAGGAATTTCAGGATAGTCAAAACGTTGAAGAAAAAATAACGAAAAAAAAATTAAATGCTACGACCTCAGTAACTATGGTGATCCAGATCATGATTGTCATAAGCAACTGAAAATCTTGGTGTGTTATGACAAGTAACTGTATAAGTAAAACATAAATAAATAAATATTATTCAAACACGCCACACCGATTGAAAATGGATTGAAAGCCGTTGATCGCGATGGAACAAATCGAAAAGACAGCTGAAGGCCAATTATTACAAAGAAAATCTGGAGAACAATATAAAAAACAGTTATCTGATTTTATCAATAGGTGCAAAGAACAGAACGTAGAAAAATGTACAAAAGGTACAATTGCAACAGGCATTCTGAAAATACATTCCTAAATTTAGCTTTTATTGCAAAGAAATTCACTTTAAATCCCTAAAAAAACTGTACGCCCCTGATTTTATCACCCTGTAACACTAAAAACTCAGAGATTTAGGACAATTGTTGATGAGAACTTTCCTCCTTCAAATCACCCGAGGATTCACACCTTGTATTATCGTCACTCAATTAATGAACACCCTGTATTGTGTGGCACTCTTGTATTTTGAACAAATCACTAAAACACCTGTTTACTGGAAAATAATCCTTGCATCAGCCAAATATTAGACAGTCAATAATATGTGTTTGAGTCGAATTTTGAATACATGTACAGGGTGGGGCATTAGTGCGTAGGAGCTTCAAAAACAAACGTGAATGAGAAAACAAGGTCCATAACAAAAAATTATTGCCGCATATACAGGGGGCACCGAAAAAAATCTAGAGGGACAGGTTCACTTTTTTAAATGGAATGCCCTGTATAGTAGCACATTCTTTGAAGCATCCCTGTGACCTCCATCAACTTCTATAATATCGTTGACTATATCTCATATCAAAGTTATTAATTTTTTTGTCGAAATAATGTCATCTGCAGAGGCATACCGAAAAAATCACTGTCACTGTTTCAATTACGAAAATTAAGAAAGAATAATCATAATAACATTTGATAAAAAGATATTCCTGAAGAATTCCCATGCTCTCAAATTATACAGGGTGGCTGAAAATGATGTTTTAATTCTTAACTTTTCGAAGTTATTTTTCTCGAGCTTTTCAAATAGAACACCCCATATATTTTTTGGCCATTTGATGTAAAATCGAAACATAAACATATTTTATCTCGACATCCATATTGATATTCGTACCCTGGTTGGCCATTTTCAACCAGTTTTTTCATTCAAAGAATTAAAACCAGAATGAAACCAAACATCAGAAATAGTTCATATGCTAGTAATTCACAAAGTAAAAAAGGAAAAAAAATCCCATTATCAAAATATCCCATAAATTCATAGCACATTAAAAAGAAAACCAGGATAAAAATTCACAATTGAACTACATATTGACATGAAATTATGCAAAATCGAAATTTTGTTCTTTTTCACTTCGTAAATAATATGCATATGAACTATTTCTGTTTGCTTTGATTCTGGTATCAATTCTTTCAATAAAAAAACTATTTCACTAAATTATTAATTGGACTTGATTAATATTTTTATAACAGATTAGAATGTGTATCGATAAAAATAATGGCCAACCTATAATTTATAAGTTCAATAATTCAAAAATGAGTACGAATATCAATATGTATGTCGAGATAAAAGATGTTCGCGTTTCGATTTTATCACAAAATGACCGGAAATATTTTTAAATATGGGATGTTCATTTGGAAAACTCGAGAAAAATCACTTCGAAAAGTTCCTATTTGAAAAATCATTTTCACCCACCCAGTATAATTTGAGGGCATGAAAATTCTTCATCTTTCCATCAAATGATATTATAATTATTATCTCTCACATTTCATAATTGTGACGACACTGATTTTTTCGGTATACATTTGCAGATGACATTATTTCGACAAAAAAATCAATAACTTTGAAATGATTGAGATATAGTCCACTATATTATAGGAGTGAATGGAGGTCACAGGGATGCTTCAAAAACTGTGCTAACATACAGGGCATTCTATTTTTAAAAAAAGTGATCCTGACCAGATTTTTTTCGGTGCCCCCTGTATATGCGGCAATAATTACTTGTTATGTACCTTTTTGTCTTATTTACATTCGTCTTTGAATCAAGTTTCTAGCTATCATAGAACTCGAGCAATCGAGCTCCGACGCACTAATGCCCCACCCTGTATAGGATATTTCAATCTCTTTTTCATCTTCAAAATTTCATCAAATTTTCTGAAAGGAAATCGAAATTTTTTAAGGGTTTATGAAGTGTGGTAATAAATGTTTGCAGTGCAATGAAAAGCTTTTTTCTTACAATATTCGAAACTATAGGTATTAGGCAAATGAGCTCATTTAGTATTTATAAATGAATAAATGTTTTTATAATTCAGTTTCTACCCAACCACCATTTGATATTTTCTATTATCGTTATTGCTTGTTAAATAATATGAGTAGGTATAAACCTAGGTAGTCGGTTTTTCGATGCCTTAATTTGGTTTCTTCAGACCTTGCTACATCGACAAAAAATTAACCTTTTTATAGTTAGTCCTGGCACGGAAATATAAATACGTATATATAAAGTATTTGGTGAAGTAAATCTGTGTTCAGTTTTGCCTGTGTCAACATTTTCAATCTAAAGTTACGTTACCAAGTTTTACCCAATCATTTCAAAACTATACAAATGGAAAGCAATTATTGGATATTGCTAATTAAAAATGTGATAAGAAAATACTGTAAAACAGATTCCAATCGTGAGTAATTTCACAGAAGAAATCTTATTTGTCATTTGTTAATGCCTTAGTAAATAGTAATTATGATAATAAAATTAATATTGATTGTAATTGTACGTTTTCAGATAATACTATAAAAATGTCCGAAATAGAAACGAGTTCAATTTCTTCCGATTACCCAGAGTCGAAGGTGAACACTGAGAATAACGATTCTCAAATACTGATTTGCAATATTGTTAATGATCTCAAATCCAATGACGATAACGAAGACTTTGTGACAGAAAAATTGAACAATAGCATTTCTAAAATAAACAATACTGATGGACAAGCATTGAGGACGATGGATGAAAACGACAATGAAACCAGGCTTCCAAAACTCATAATCAAGCCAAACGTTGATCAGACGTGTTTTGTCAACGACTTCACCAAAGCAAAAACCCCAGTAGATGATAAAAACTCATCAACATTCGTGATTACAAATCACCATGAAAAGAGTAGCAATCGCCCAATGTCAACTTACAAACAAAAACAACCAATAATGGGCAAAACTGCTTTACTCAAAAAGGCAAATATTGACCCTGACTCACAAATCATACAAGGAATCATTCTCAACAAATACGAAGACGTACTAAACCACTACGTCCACCGGATGTACAAGAGAAGGATATCGAGACTCAGCAGCTCAGAAGACGAATTCAGCGATACGCTGAGTTCTCCCCAAATGAACTACTCCCCCTCGAGTGTCAGTTCTATTGGCACTCCTGGAAGTTTTGCGAATGCGACTAATAGATTCGAGTTTCCAGATCGTGAAAGCTTGTGCCAGGCTGTCCCGAACAGGTTCAGGTTTTTGATGTCTACAGATGACATCAATGTTGAAACGACTGCTGAGGAGCTGAATGAATCTTCGTTGATTTCTTCCGATCTCGGAAATACGGTATCGATGACGAGCGTTTCTGAGTATGACCCCAAGAAGTTTTTGGAAAATGCTCTAGGAGAGTTGACGAGCTTGTCTGAATCAGGAATTTGCAATGTAAGTTCTCATATTCTATGTTTCAGTAGGACAGAAGAAAATTCTTACAGTCGACTCGACCAAAGCTATACTTTATTGTAAGCAATCTTACAGGGACATGTTTGGAAGCTTTAAAGCTTCATCATCAGCGTTATTGTTACATAGGAGTACTGTTCTGGAGGAAAAAAGTTATGTTTACATATTTATATTATTGAAAAATGTTTGAGAAAAATTATAAAAAAGTTGAATGGGGACCGCAATTATTGAGTTCGGCATGAACAGATAATACTTTTGTCGATTTTCATCTGAATACTACTCAACATGATATTTAAAGTTCCCTAACAAAGGGGTTCCGCAATAATTGCGATCCCCATTCAACTTTTTTATAATTTTTCTCAAACATTTTTCAATAATATAAATATGTAAACATAACTTTTTTCCTCCAGAACAGTACTCCTATGTAACAATAACGCTGATGATGAAGCTTTAAAGCTTCGAAACATGTCCCTGTAAGATTGCTTACAATAAAGTATAGCTTTGGTGGAGTCGACTGTAAGAATTTTGTCCTGACCTATTGCCTTCACTCCACTGTAAGATGGATCGCCTCAGATGTTTTTCTATGTTTCAATTAGGTTCCTTGAGGAATGAAATAGACTAGGTACAGGGTGATTCATCATAAATGCCCCCCTCTAGCTCACTTATTTTCGAACCGATTTAAAAATTTGAAAAATCATCTAAAATGATTTTTCAGAGATTTTTTTCCCGTTGCATCAGAAAATACAGGGTGCTCGGAACAAACGATCAACAGAGTACTACTTGATTTTTTCAAATGGAACACCCTGTATTTCATTGTATTTTTAAATTCTCCCTGAAGAGCTGATTTAATCAATACATCACACTTGGGGTCTAGCGGGAATGATTACAGAGATATAGGGTGTTCAAAATCGAGATTTTTCAATTTTTGGATTTTTTGTGTCGTAACTTTTCATTATTGGTCAATGTCCCTATCTCAACTTTTGATTTACTATCTACTGACATTTAATTGGAACTTATACAATGTCTTTCAAGATTCATAATTCTGATCACCCTGTATCTGTTCCAATTATTAAATTTCAGTAGATAGTGAATAGTTGAGATACGGAGATGAAAGCCGTTTTGACCGATAATGAATTTTTTCGTCACAGAAAAATCCTCAAGTTGAAAAATCTCGATTTTGAACACCCTATATCTTTGTAATCAATCCCGCTAGACGCCAAGTGTGATACATTGATCAAATCAGCTCTTCAGAGAGAATATAAAAATACAATAAAAAATAGGTAATTCCATTTAAAAAAATCAAATAGTACCTTGTAGATCGTTTGTTCCGAGCACCTTGTATTATCTGATGTAGTGGAAAAAAACTCTATCGAAAATCATTTTAGATGATATTTAAAATCTTGCAATCGGTTCAAAAGTAACTGAGCTAGAGGGGGGGGGGGGAACATTTATGGCGAATCACCCTGTACACAAAATTACCGGACATTTCATAGGAGAAACAGACTCCCTAGCGAATTGACTGTTTTTTTTTCATTTGTTGTAGTCCAAGCCATTCTAAACAACATGACCAATGGCTTAACTGCTGTTGTGAATAGTTTTGGACTAGTGGCTGCTGAAAATTTTCATGATTTTCCTGTTTTTCTTTTTCGAAACAAAACGCTTCCCGAAGTTGTCAATAATTAAGTTGTTTTATGATCAAATCTGTATTAATTAGCTTCTCTAGTTACCAGATTAGTGTTGTGAAATTTCCAGAAATTTTCCGGAAATATTTCCGGATATATTTCCTGAAACCTTGGACATATATGGAAATATTGGGAATACACGGAATTATAGGAAATATGTATTAAAATTATAAAAAATATTAAAAATAAGAAAAACAGAAATATTCATGAATAAAAAACATAACAAAACACAAAATGCATGCACATGAACACAAATAAAGAGTTGTTCTTAAAAAAAAAAGGGAAACTTGTTGAAAGAATCTTATTTTTGACAAACAAGTCGAGCAACAGGCATATCTTCATCGGTGGCATCGTTATTTTTGTTAGGAAGAGCGAGACCTACAGTTGATAGTGGATTTTGAACCACTTCTAGGGCGCCGAAGAATATATTATGTATATGTTCAACTTGGAACAGAATTTTAGATTCACATATCCTCACTGTACAATGTGATGTATGGTTTCAAGCATAGAGAATATGTAGTGGTTGATAAAAATGCACGACTACATCTTGCGAGAATTGCCACTGAACTTTTAAGGCGACATAATAAATATGTACGCACAATATTCTCCGAACGTTATCCCCTTTCGTGGCCCCAGGAGATGAAAAAAAATGCCACTTTTGTGTTCCGACATGAATTCGATAGAACACGTATGGGCTAGATTTAAAGAGAAGGGAAGGTGAAATAATGAATCTTGAGGTATATTTTTCAACTGATTTAGATATATTCCCTTCAAATCAACAATTATTATTGTAACACCAACGTGTTCTGCTATTAAGCTGATGATTTATTCACGCCACGAATTGTTCTGAAATTGCACAATCACATACCCAATTACCCACTAGAACCTAAGCAAAAGGAATATGTGGAAAATGCAATAACGTATACCTCCCAATATGAATGCAGTGGTTGCTATATGTTCCTGGGTGTCATCCAGAGCGATGTAATTTCGATCTAAATAAAAATCTAGTAGGCGACTTTGCCTACCAAAGAAATTAATCAAAATATGTTTTTTATTAACTGTGCTAGAAAGGTATGACACATTTTTCGTGCATACCAATCCCATCAGTATGCCTACAAAATTTTCATAGTGACATCGTGCTAGACTTTGCATCTCCATCAGGTCCGTACTAGCACAGTTGTTAATCTTGTGGTACTACCTGATGATTGTGATTGTGATTGTGCTCAAAAATATTATTCACTACAATCTACTTATTATCAATGTTATATACTAGCTGCTCAGTAAACAAATCGGTTAATGAAACTTGCTTCAAAAACAGTTGAAACTACCAGTCCCAGAACAATTTTTCTTTGTAATAACTTGTTATCTATGTATGTAGGCCATTTCAAAGCATTCGGATATAAAACATTATCTCTTGGCATCTTAATTATAATGTATGAAATAAACATGTTTGATTCACAGCAATGTAATAATTTGAAATAATTAGGATGATTCAGAGATAAAATTCAGAATTACACTCTAATCCTGGCATTCTTCTTGGTATCTACAAATTCTTCTATGATTTTCTACGGGAGAGGAAAGCGATTTTGTAAATCAATAAACTTTGAGTGAAATGGAATGGGATTGTGATTTAACTACTGTAGTGAATAAAATCAATCAACCCATAACTATTTTCCTGTTACTGATATGGAAATTTCATGATTTCTGAAACCATTAATTTTTTTTAAGGATTCGTCGCCCAGTGCCAATAATCAACAATGTGAACAGAGTATTGGATCATCCAATTTATCCGCTCTGCTATCCAAAGCCGGTTCTTTCTGTTCATCAGTGAAGAAAAACATTAGAAGACGGCGTTCCAGTCTAAAAACTGTTTGTCTTCTGGAAAACATGAACTCCCACTCTCCTGAAATCAAACAGTTATTGGAAACTTGTAAAAAGGAGCTTTCAATGCAAAATGCTATAATGTTCCAAATATCAAAAGCACTGAACTATTGTCGGTCGTCCAAAGAATTTGATTCTGGAAAAGAGCATATTGAGGCAGAGAAAATTCTTTTGGTTGCAAGTAAGTTGAGGAACAATCAACATCCAAGTTGATTAAAAAATCATGCTCATAATGGGGCTCAATTTCTCTTCCATAACTTGAATTAGGATCTAATAGAATATAATCATGAGATAAATTGAGTAATGATTTTACAAAATATAAATCTAAGAACACCTCAGGTATGTGCGGTAGTTGAAATCATTGTCTGCTAAATATGGAGAAGAAATCTAGTGAGCTGTAGTATCTGGTCTGCTCAAACAATGGAAATCACCTACAGGTTTCTGTGGCCGATACCGTAGTGCCGCAATACGGTCAACTCGAGGAAACACTCATTTCAATTGTTTTCCTGTCACAAACCTACATAACCTTGAAAATCGTAAACGAGTTGAGCAGCTCCCTCAGCGGTGCTCTCGATATTCTCGGCCTGCCGCGTAGTTTGTTGTTCAGTATCACGACTTATAGTCACGGGTCACGGTCACTCAGTCATTCAAATATTCAAAAAATCATTCCTTCTCAAAATGGTTGCTACAGACAATACAATAGTCTCCAACACCTTCAACACCTAAATTAAATGGGAGGTAGAATGAGTAGTATGGATTATTAGCTCTTGATCAGAGCTCTGATTATCTCACTTGTAATGAGCCTGTAACACTCAATATCGAATGAATTCACTAATGTCGCAGAAGAATATCACTCGGAAATCTATGAATGGAGACATTTTCACACTTTCTTGTAAGCACAATTGAGAGACAGAGTTTGTAACAAATTATCAATCAGAATAAACTATAATGCTGGGAGCACAATACAAAACTATATCTTTAAATGAAAGGAATATTAGAACAATGTGAGAATTGAAGGAGACACTGACAACTTACATAACGACAAATTTCGAAAATTTTCTAGAAAAAAGTGAAGATCATTTCGTCCGGTAACATACTCTGGTGGTCATACACTGAACTGAACTATAGAGCAGACCAGTAACTACAGCTCACTAGATTTTTTCTCCATATTTAGCAGACAATGGTTGAAATGATTAGAAATAGTAAACATTTTCCGTTGTTGACAGACTTTCGCATATACAGAGTCTCCCACGAATATGTGGCCAAATCTCAGAATTATGTAGTACAGATAAAAATATAGGTACTGGTAGTTCATTTTTTTAGGGTGGTGCCTCTCGGAGTCGTTTCATGGTGAACATCTGATTGGAATCTAAACATTCAAAAACACTAGCAATTGTCATTTCTTTGTCCGAACTCTTATCTAATACCATCCAGAGGCGCTATATCTAATGAGTCAGAAATTTGCAATGTGATGAAGGTATTGAACAAAATAAAATGGATTGATTTCAGAAAAAAAAGATATTTTTGATGAGAAAATAGTTATTTATTATACAAGGGAAAAAAGTAGTAGATTTTAGCTCCAGGTTGTGTTGTCTCCCGACGCGTAGCGGAGGTAGACAAAAAACCGTGAGCTAAAATCTAAAATTTTTTTCCCGTGTAATTATTTTGAAATCTGAAAATTATCGACGTGAAATTTTAAGTTTTTGGCAGTAGGGACACCTGCGTTGTAGGCATCTTTATCATTCTTTTGAAGTAATTAAATATCTGATGTCACTTCTGTCAGTCTATTCTGTGATTTAATTGCGAATTCAGTGGTTGTTTAGTAATATACTGTTATATATGAAGTCAATAATCGAATTCAGATAACATGCATTTAATGTGGCTCACAAAAACCAATATTATTAACAACTGAACTTTTATATCTATACATAGCAACCTGAAACCAACGTAGAACATTATACTGGAGGTTTAACCATACTCAGTACACAACACTCCTCCCTTCTAGAAAATATCACTTGGTATAATTTTCTAAATATTGTGGAGGCCGACGATTCCTTGTTGGTCTTCCTGGCGGCTCGAGGCTTGTATCACCTTCGTCTTTAGTACTTGAAAACCTGGCAGTATGTTCTCGGTTGGGCTCTTCAATGTCCATCTCCAAAGGTCTTGGACTTGGTTCACTCGTGTCGAGGGCATCATCACCATCCTCGTGGCTGGATTTACGACTTCGCAGTTGATCGGCATGTCTTCTTATCATCTTCCCTTCTGGAGTGGCCACCTTGTAACTCAAGGGACCAGTAACTCCAACGACTGTTGAAGGTATCCATTTTTCACCAGGTGTGAAAGAGCGAGCATAGACGCCTTCATGCTCCTCAAAAGTTCGAGGAGTCAATGATGGCTGACATCTCGTTTCCTGCTTTGTTACCATATCTTTTCTGAAATCAGGAAGGAGCCGATCTAGCAGGGTAGGCAACTTACGACCCATCAAAATTTCCGCAGGTGATTTTCCTGTTGTACTATGTGGTGTAACATGCTGTATCAACATGTATCTGGCCAACTTCACTCTTACATCAGCACCGGTCATTTTCTTCAATGCATTTTTAACATTTTGTACCATTCTTTCTGCTTGTCCATTGCTACTGGGATGGTATGGTGCAACAAGGGCTTGCCTGATTGCATTTCGTTGCAGGAAATCTTTGAATTCTTGCGCTGTGAAGGCACTTCCATTATCAGAAGCTATTACCTCTGGAACTCCATGGGTGGCGAACAGATCCCGCAAAACCGATATCGTGGCTGATGCTGACGTTGTCTTCACTATTCTCACCTCAATAGGCGAGAACACGAATTTCTGGAAAAAATACCATGGCCTTTAGTATGACGATAAAAGTCTCAGGTATTTTTTTCAGATTTTTATTCGAAGTAGTTTTTCCACAAAAAATTTGCAAAGTATTGATCCCGTTCAAACGAGCTGGAATATCGCGCGTTAATGTGACGTGACAAGTATTAGACGGTGATCCGGCAACGTCGCTTGATATCTTCTGGACTGTTGACTGTGTGGACAGTTGACAATTCGTTCATCTGTCACTACTGTCAGTTGTTATTTTATTTTATTGTTTATTTATTTTTGTCGGCCAATATTATTTTTATTCGTGCCATCGAATTATTTATTTTTTCTCATCAACGTTTATTCACATTCCTGGGATGGCAGTGGCTGTAAGGAAATGCCACAAACTTGGTTCCATCCTGCTTAATCAACACTGAACAAAGTATATGGATAAACCATACCTGGAATCAAATGATATATTTTGCTGTGAGGATCGTTTTGATGTGAGTAGAATTTTTTCTTCAATATGGATTGATCATACTCATTTTGTTCTAGCTTGAATATGACATGTTGAACTGGGTGGAATTAAAACTCATTGGATCTAGAGTTTATATGCCTGAAGATGTGATTCCATATTCATTAAACGTCCAAAACTGAGAAAAGACCCATCAAAATCCTAACTTTCATCTTCAGCACGGAAAAGGAGATCTCAATAATCCCTTGAGAATTTGGGAGATGAGATAAAATGGAACTTTCCTCAAATCATATTGACTCTCCTTGAGGAAAATTCTTGGAAGTACCAGTGAGTGTTTCAGTTGAAAAAGTTTTCTTGAAGAACCTGAAAAGTAACCTGTCATGGAAGAGACTGACATCAAATACTATGAACCAGAACCAAATTGACAGTCCCATAACATATTATGATAAAATGACTCAGGACTGTTGCTGATTGATATACAAATATGTTTGTGATTTTTACCATCATGATTAAGTTTATTTGTTTTCTTGAAAACTTTGTGATGATCTGGACAAGATATTGATATAATATTTCCATGTTGTACATCTATATTCATTCTAGAAATGAAATATATCTATTAATATTTAACTGTTCTAATTATATCTACTGCATAAAGTGGACAATAAATGAAAATTTCAACCAACATTCTTGAGCATTCTTGCTTCATTTTGATAATTTTTGTGTACTACCTATTCCGAGACCTATTCCTTTACATTTTTGACAAATTTTCCCTACATGAAATAGTGGCAATACCTATCTAGTAATTTTGGCTTGTATGATTTTGTTTTTTGCATTGAGAATTGATGTTGCATCTTCCATCATTTCTAGATATGCCAGTGCTCTCTTGGTTTATACTTACTGGATTTTTTTCTTACTACTTTCATTACTTTTTTGGTGTTATGATAGGTATTCATCTTTCTTACCAATATTCCACTGACAATAAAATATGAATGAACCAGGTTGTTCGACAAGAAGTAAACATGAATTTCATATACCTACCATCTCCAGTTTGTGAAGATATAGTGTATGATCAATATGAGAAGGGATTTCGAAGTTGTGTATGATGAAATATGTTATTTATAAGACACTGGTGAGCTCTAAATAAGTCCAATTTTGAAATAAGAGAAGAAAAAAACTACTGTAGTACTGTTATTTTATAATTTTATTAAATGGGTGGAATTAACAGTTTGCCACAAATTTTCAGCATCTTTTATAATTTTCTAAAGGAATATAGGGTCATATCACACTTCAAGTAACTGAAAACTACCATTATTCTCAAAATTCTCCTGCTCATATAATGTACCTTCGAATGTCTTGCACTTTGTGCACTTTGAAGCAGTAATTCTTCCATAGCAAACTTCAAACCATGCTGATAATGATGATTCGTTTTGATTCATTTTTATATCTTGCACCAATTCACAATCACTGTCACTGATATTCTGATGAATGTAGTCTTGGAATCCCCTAGGAGACAAATTGGATGAATGTTTTCTGGACAAAATAATTAGCTTATGAATCAGAATCAAACTGTCTCAAAAACAGTTATCCTTGGCATCCATGTTTTCCATCTACTTGAAAAACTACTTCAAGAAATTTTGATGGAACCACTGGGAGGGTAGGAACTTGTTGTGGTGCTAATTCTACAAGTGGCATGAATGTTGATAGGAAGCTCAAAAATTTGGTAGTTTGGACACTGAGTTGGACACTTTTCAGTAACACTCCATAGAAGGTACAGAGGGTTCTTCTGATCTTCCATGTAACCATAATAAGAAAGCCACACTGTGTTTACATCTACCTAAGAATATAAAAGAATATAGTTTATAAAAAAGTCAAGAATTTATGTACCTTTTACCTTTTGAAACTGCACAATCCAGACTACAGTTTCTTCAGCTTCATGAACCTCAGCCTCAACCCTTTATGGTTTAGGACGAACTTTATGTTCTGGACTAATCTTCACCTTTATGAAACAGCTCATGCCAGTTTTTTTAACTTGCAGAATTCAAAAACCATAGTTGAATCAACTACTGGAAGATTGTGATTGCTTTTTCGAATACTGGCTTCATATCTCCAATCAATAAACATGAACCCATCAGACTGTCACAATAATAGTCACAATGATTTGAATATTTTGATTACACAAGAAAATATTAAGCAAATGAAAAATCAAAGAAAAACTCTGATGTTTTGATGTTTAGGACTTTAGGAGTTCGGTTTCTTAGGTTAGGAAATATGTAGAATATTTTGAAGGTACAGTACAGCGTTGCCAAATGCACGCCAATACTTGTTACGTCATCACGTATCCGCCATTATTGGTTTTTTGAATGGTCCACAAATTTGTATGGTTTTGCAAACGCGTTCTTTGGATAATGACAGCATTTATTGTTGAAAAAACTACTGGTACACATTATTTCAATGTTATATTTATTTATTATGCACATTTGAACTGAATTCGTGCTATTGTGTTCTCGCCTATTTGAAAAGGAGTCAACAACTATCAGGTAAATGTATCCGTTGAACGGGCCAGCAAAGTCTAGGTGGAGTCGTGTCCATGGTGCTCGCGACCATTCCCAGGGGTGGATCGCAGATTTTCTTGGCATCGGACGACATTCTTGACATTCAGGGCAACTGTTTACTTTTGCCTCAATTTGACTGTCTAGGTTAGGCCACCATACATACGATCTGGCTAAGGCCTTCATTTTAACTATTCCATGGGTGAGACGCGTGGAGAATCTCGAGCACCCTATTCCTCCCACCTGGTGGAATTATTACTCTAGTACCCCATAATAGGCAATCTTGATAGCAGGTGATCTCATACCTTCGTTGATAGTATGGTTTGTGCTCTTCTGATAGACTTTTATTTTCGTCTGGCCATCCTCTCCATGTCCATTGAAGCACCATGGAGAGAACTGGATCTTTTGATGTTTCTTCAGCAATCTCCTTTGCCCCCAAGTATTTTTCTGGTATCGACTCAAGCATCAGTACTTCTTCCATTGGTGGTGACCCAGCAACATTCGTTTTAATCGGTAACCTGCTGAGAGCATCTGCGTTTCCTATTTCTTTACCAGGGATAAACTGTAGCTCATAATTGTAGGCGTTCAAAGTGATTACCCATCGTAACATACGTGGAGATAAGATTTCAGGAGTTGGTTTGTTAGGACCCAGAATTCCTAGTAAAGGCTTGTGATCCGTGCGAATCACGACTTCCCGACCGTAGACATAGTCGTGGAACTTCTTAATTCCCACCATAATAGCTAGTGCTTCTCGGTCCAGTTGTGCGAAATTTCTCTCTGATGGAGACAGGGTACGGCTATGGTATGCTATTGGCATATCCACTGCTTCATTATTCGGCTGGCTGAGCACACACCCCACGCCATAAGGGCTAGCATCACAAGTGAGGTACAGTGGTCGATGTTCGTCATAATGTCCAAGCAGGGGTTCACTCACTAGGATATCTTTAATCTTCTTGAAGGCTAATTCCTCTTCTTTGTGCCAGTGCCATGGACAGTCCTTGTGCAAGAGTCGATGTAAAGGTTCGGCCAGTGTGGCTTTATCTTTCAAAAACATATGATAAAAGTTCACAAGTCCCAGGAACGCTTGCAACTCTGTTGTGTTTTTTGGTGCAGGTGCATTGACAATAGCTGTCACTTTATCGTTTGTTGGCTGTATCCCGGCAGCGCTTATATGGAATCCGAGGAATGTTATTTCCTTGGTACTGAAAACACACTTGTTTTTTCGTAAGTGTAGTCCATCCTCGCTGAATCTCTGAAGCACTTCTCGCACTTTGATCTCCAAATCTGAATCCGATGTACCCACTATGAGAATGTCGTCATAGTACGGCAAGGCACCAGGTATTCCAGCTAGCCTCGCATCAATGAATTGTTGGAAAATCTGTGGGGCAACGGAGACACCAAACTGGAGTCGCGAACACTTGAATGCCCCTCTGTGTGTTATGATGGTTTGTGCTTCTGCAGCCTCGGCGTCCACTGAAAGTTGTAGGTAGGCTTGTTGCAAGTCCAGTTTTGCAAAAATTTTTCCTCCAGCTAGAGCTGATAAAATATTCTGCACACAAGGAACAGGGTATGTATTGGTTCGCAGCGCCTTGTTGATAGTGTTACGGTAGTCCCCGCAAATTCGAACTTCACCACTGCCTTTGAGAACAACGACAATAGGGGTCGCCCACTGCGGGTGTGTTACTGGTTCCAACACACCTTGTGTAATGAGTCTGTCTAATTCACAATCCACTTTCTCTTTGAGAGCAAATGGTACCCGACGAGCTTTCAGTACAATTGGTTTGATTTCCGGATTCAAAATAAATGACACTGGGGGGCCTTTATACGCTCCCAAATCTTCACTGAATACTTGGGGATACTCCTTCTCGTAATCCACTGTAGCTGTCATGTTATGAATTCCTGTGAGTGAAATGCCAAGCGCTGCGAACCAATTTCTGCCCAGAAGACTCGCTCGGTTTGATTGAACCACGATGAGTGGCAGCTCCGCCGAACGGTTTCTAAACTGAACTGGAACACAGAATTCTCCCACAATTGGAATAACGTTACCCTGGTAGTCTCGAAGTGTTGGAGTCCTTGCATTTTGCGTGTCCAGTACAGGAGGGCAGTCTCTGAAAATGTCTTGAAAATTGGTTTGACCAATTACGCTATGAGCGGCACCCGAATCCACTTCCATTTCCATCAACTTTCCATTTACTTGGATGTTAACATTGAATTTCCCGCACCCAGAGTCAATTTGTAAACTGTGTAATGGCACACTGTAGATATTGCCCGTATCTTCAGGGATACTGAAATTTTGCTCCTCGATTTCGTCGGTACTTTGATTATGCACCCTGTGTTTAGATTTGTAGTTTCCAACTTTATTTTTCTTTGCATAACATGCTTTTTCTATATGACCTAGTTTGTCACAGTAACGACACTTCGTGTTTTTGAAAGCACATGTGTCAGGCGAATGCTCACTGTCACATCGAAAACATCTCTTCTTCCGATCAAACCATTTCTTGTTATCTTCCATCTTATTCACTGAATGTACTACTGACGAGCTTGATGCTGTCAGAGTCGAAGATTCTTTGAGCACAGTGAGATTATAAGATGCAGTCTCATGTGCCAGGCAGAGAGCCTGAGACTTAGCAAATGTGAGATCCTGTTCTGCTAACAAGCGCCGCTGAAGGGATTCATCTAGGATTCCACAAACTAATCGATCACGCAGCATGGTCTCCAAAGTATCGGCGAAACCACAATTTTCTGCAAGATGACGTAGTTCTTTGATGAATACCGCAATGCTTTCACCAGCTTGTTGATTGCGTCTGTGAAACTTGAAACGACAAACCATTTCTGAGGTCTTCGGCGTGAAATGTTGGTTAAGTACTCGAATCAACTCGTTGAACGGTTTCGCATTCACCTTTTCGGGAGCTATCAGCGAACGTAAGATAGAATATGTGGCCGGGCCACAAATACTCAGGAAAACGGATTTCTTTCTTTCATCTTCTTGAATGTTATTCGCCAAGAAAAAGAACTCGATTCTTTCTTGGTAACTTTCCCAACTGGCGGGATCACAGGGATCGAAGTGTTCAATGTTTCCATAGGTAGCCATATTGCGAGCTCGACTAGCAATACTTTGGCAAACTTACTGAGCATGTAATTTTGGGTTACTCATGGGATGATCCCATCCTCGTCGCCAAAATGTTATATATGAAGTCAATAATCGAATTCAGATAACATGCATTTAATGTGGCTCACAAAAACCAATATTATTAACAACTGAACTTTTATATCTATACATAGCAACCTGAAACCAACGTAGAACATTATACTGGAGGTTTAACCATACTCAGTACACAACATATACGTAACCGCGAAGTCGAATGGAAGATAAAAGGACTTGTAGTTCTTTCTCGGAGACGGTATTATTGACTCATTTTTCGGAACTATAGCACAACAAAAGCCATGAACAGTGTATATATTATGTGATATATATCCTGGAAAAAAGGACTCACTTTTTTCCCACGGGAAAAAAGTAATTTATGAAAAGTCACATTTTATAACCTGCCAACAGAGATGGAATGCCAATCTTTTTTCCCGTCACCGAAAAAAAATTTGTTTCCCGTTTTCCAGCATGAAGTACAACCGATGTTTCTTCTGAGCTTGAATCGCCCTGTGCAGAGAGATTGGTATTCTAAGTTATCTTACTTATAGTACTTTGAGAATGCCACTGGCAATATTTAATTTCTTTATGACTATTGCAATTTTCACTTTTCATTAATAAAATAGATTGAGATATGTATGTAATTTCGAAGTCATAATAAAATTGTATTTATGTGACACCACTTTTACTGGAAGATATTTTTCAGCTATCACAAAAGAAGTATTAATCAACGAAATCAACAGCATAGAATTCAATACCTATCAGAACAACTTCGATCCGAGGTGTTCAGGAGAAATCAATCTACAGAATCTAAGATTTCACCTGAAGAAAAATAATTCCATGGAGTCTCATCAGAATACTAGAGAGTATTTTCTGGTAGTGGTGACATGTGGCAAAGCTGTGATTTCTAGTGAAGTTGTAGAAGAAATAGGTGGCACTGTTCTCATTGAAAAATCATTCCAATTCAGGAATCTGCTTGCTGACTTTGAAATTGCCCTCTCCATTTATTCAATGACTGTTAGAGGTCGAGTTCATTCAAACCAGGTAATAAATATTTTTTCAACTACACTTTTTCAACTTTCTCATAACCATATTTTATGTTACCAACAAACATCAAACACCTTGCTTGGATGATGAAGCATATACTTAGATCATTATCCAAAGCCTACTTTAACTTTGTTGATAAAGAGTTTTACAATGAAGTGGTCAGAATCAGAAACGGGACAACTGAAAATTTAGTTCGAATTTCAACAGTTTGTAGCTTCATTTTATGTAAAAAGATTTGAATGTTTCCACCAGGAATAAAAACTCATTTTACTAGCTATCGATCCCATCCTGTTAATAACTCTGAACCGGCGAAAATTTATTCAAATTCAATCGTCCCCCAATAACTGCAATTTTGTTTTATTTTGATTTTTCATGCTCCAACATTTTAAATATGAAGATCCACGAAGCATCTAAACCATCTATATTATTAGTTTTTCAGTGATGAACATAATTTTGGACAGTGCATGTCTTTTATTGAAATAAAAAGGTTCGAATTTTCATGAAATCATAGGCATTATTTTACCTTAAAACTAACCTAATTGATCATTCTAGAACACGTGATTTTGACATGGTTTCTTGAGGGGCACACAAACTATCTATTAGGTTACCTTTGATGAGCATAGCCCTGGCCATCCCTGCAGTTTCACCAAACAAAATTATGAAATTCTTTCTGGTTCCAACTCGAATCCCAAGGAAAACGATCCCACTAATTCTGGTTTTATATGACAAATCTTGACAAAACACAATGTTTGCCCCTCAGCAACCTGTCAAATGACGTAATTCTGGAATGATCAATATGTGAATTTCCATGTAATTTCTATGAAGGGTGTCGAAAAAACAAGCACATGTAAACAGTATTTTTGCTAAGGTAAATGATTATTTACTCGGAAACGGTGAGTTTAACAAAAAAAGGGTAAGTATATCTCTTGTTTTTTTTTTTCAAAATATAATTTTCTACTTACCGGAGCAATCGGACCTTCTAACATTTGCGATTAATTTAATGTCATATTATATTATCGATGCAAAAAATGAAAAAATAAAGCTAATCCCGGTAATTTGGAATTAGTCGAATTTTTGCATATGAACATTCGAAGGTATGAGGAATAATACTATGAAGTTAGTCTTCCTGCAAAAAATGACTATTATGGTTTCATAAAAATCGTCTCTTTTTATTTCTATAAATCCGCACGGCACGGTCGGTCGATAATGATGTTTGTCTCTAAAAAACTCGTCATTTTAATGGTTATTCATATCAGTCCAAATTTGGTGAGAATCGTAGGACTAATAGTTGATGTATATATATAGGGGCCGTTTACAGTAAAACACGCTTGCTGTATAGAGGGTGGTATATGATGTGTCATATGATACACTCACTGACCAAGTGTGGCAGAATTAGATTTTTCAGAACTGGAAACATTTTAAGAAGAAGTTATAATGAGTAATATCAGTATATCCTGAGACAGTTTCCATTCATCTATCATTTTCCATATTTTCTATGGCTCCGGTCGAACAGGGTATATCACTGAAGATGACAACACTTAGTCACAGTGTGAATTTCAAATTCTGATGCATCTATTTGAATTGTTTTCAAAGGGTAGTAAGGAACAAATGGATTGACATATTCAAAGGCAGTCGAACGAATTTTTGTCGATTTTTCGCTGAACAAAATCGTCCTGTAATTGCCATAAGTATCTCATCTCTGGTTTTGACCATTTCAGGAGTCATCAACTTGATTATGGTTATCAAAAAAGCAATACTGAAAAAATGTAACAAAAATTTCCACAATTTTTACACATCATCTCATTTTATTTTCAGGATAATGTGAAATGCCCTTCTCCAAAAAGCATATTCAAATGCTCCAAAGACTCTAAAAAAATCAAAATTGCTAGTACCCTGTACATAGAACCATTGGCCTTCACCCTTTTAGGAAAATGTCTGATGAGAATATCTGATTTATCAAAAATTAACCCCAACAATGAATCAACCATGAAGTTATGCAATGTCTCTCCACACGCTTCCTTATCCGAAAACTTCACTCTTAAAATGGATTATAAATTCAGCCTCGCCACTAGAGTTGGTGGATTTTTAACTGTAGGAACGGAGAATGGAAATGTGTGCACAACTTGGAACCGAAGGTGGTGTGTCTTGGAATCGTACATTTTAAAATACTGGAACTATCCTTCGGAGGAAGTATCCAGCCCTTTAGGCAGCATAGATTTACGGTGTTGTCTGGTGCAAAGCATAAGCCCAGCTAATAGAAGTATATGTGCCAGATCGAAGACACTTTTTATGCCGGTGCAGCACGGAACTGATGTGAAGAAATATTTACTATGTGCTGATAGTGCGGCGGATATGAATATTTGGGAGAAGGAACTGAATTTCGTTCTACAGTCCCTCATGATTTGGAATGGGATGGAGTGTAGAACATAAAAAATTACTTTTATATTTTAAATTTTTTAACAGTTGTTGTGTTGAACTATACACTAAAATGAACGGCTATAGTTATTTATTATAGCATAAAAAAAGTATATATAAGTACTTATAATAAGTATAAATAAATGAATGCATATATCTACATTTTATAAATGCATTTTGTCGCTTATTTTTATTTCTCATGTCTATGTCCTTTTTTCTGATGGATGGTGATCAAGAATTTGAACATAGAGTTTTCCAATTTGGTATGGGTATTTGAAAAAGAATATTCTCAGATGAATTATAAGAACCTATTCTTTTTTTCATGCCCATAATATGCTTTTAAATACTTTCATACGCAATCGAGGGGTTCAAACTTGAATTCTTCAGTCTTCAGTCGAATTTACGCAAAATACCTAATAGTAGGGGAGCCCAAGCAGGGATTTTGAGATTTACGCGAGCGCGGAAGAATATCATAAGGGGGTAACCTTATTGCACCTTCTGAAGTACTCCCACTATACATGGGCTCCTTATATGGTATCGAACGTCTAGGGCAGCCGATCAGATTAGTTAAAAAAAAATCGATCGTTGGTTACTTCCATGCAGAAAAGTGTGCATTTCAATAATCTGAGGATTTGAGCCTGACATAAGTAAATAAGGAAATGGGAGAGTCACAAAGTTGCAAAAAAATTGTCACCTGGACATTCTCGAGCGCGAATAAGTTTTTGCTACAAACGTCGAAAAATTTTGAGCCTCGCGCATTGCGCATTCATACCAAATTGCAATGTGACACTTTTTTTCAGTTTACTAATTACCAATTAAGGCACCATGTGCGAAGCAGTGCGCGAAGTAAAACACACTCTTCGACAGGGTGTCCCATAAGTAATGTATCAAAAGAAGTGGGGTGGTAGGAAGGGTTATTACCAATCAAACTAACCGTATATACAGGGTGTCTGTAAAACATTGGGACATGGCTCGGCTGTGGACTCCTGGGATAAAAACAAGTTGATTTAGGGTAACTTACCTATGTCCAAAATCGTCTCGTTGAGTTGGTACAAAGCATTGAAGTTTTTTCGGAAAAAAATAATTCTGCAAACAGAGTTGACTGAGATCGATTTTCATAATTTTTGGCATGTCATGTTCTGTGACTGTGAGTCACGTTTTGAGATGTCTTTGATCATCATCAGTGACCTGCAATAAGTGTTACAAACAACCATGTTGGCGTACAAATTTGGTAATAACTTTCCAGAGGTTGGACTGGAAACTTCCAGTTTTTTTTTTCAGAAATATTTTTTGTATCGCGTCAATTTTTGATAAGTCTCGAGGTTCATTTGCGAATAAATATTTTCTGATCTGAGGCACCTTATGCATTTTAAAGAAAAATAATCTGATTGGGACATATTGCTTGACTGTAGACTCCTGCGATAAAAATGATAATCAATAAACAGTCCGACTAATTAATTGATTTTCAAAAATGCGCAGGATGCATCATATCAGAAATTATTTATCTGCAAATGAACCTCGAGACTCATCAAAAATTAACACGATACAAAGAATATTTCTGAAGGGAATATCTTTATTTCTGGGAAAAAAAATTAAAATTTCCAGTATAATCTCTGAAAAGTTATCAACAAATTTGTACAGGGTATCCCAATTTGGGCACTTTTGCGGGGTATCTCCCTTATCAGTAAAGATAGAGCATTGCGGTTTTCGCGACAGTGTGCTTCTTTTTTATGAAATTAATAATGGCGCAAGCAGAATTGTGATAGCTCTTCCGGTTGACGAGATACAGGGTGGAATTGAAAAATATCACTTTTCAGGCACCCTCCGTGTCTCAGTTATCTTTGAACTTATCGAAGAAGTTAATACTTGTTTTTATAGAGTTTTTCTCGTAGAATCCAGAGTGGCGTAGTTATTTTTTTGCTAGCACCTTTTGTTTTTTAGTTATGGAGCAAACATATTTTTTTTTAAATGGAACACCCTGTATATTATTTCATATATACATTGAGCATGAAGTGGGATTTCCAAAAATATATAATTGTATACAATTATTTTCCATTTAAAAAAACATATGTTTGCTCCATAACTAAAAAACAAAAGGCGCTAGCAAAAAAATAACTACGCCACTGGATTCTACGAGAAAAACTCTATAAAAACAAGTTTCAACTTCTTCGATAAGTTCAAAGATAACTGTGACACGGGGGATGCCTGATAAGTGATATTTTTCAATTCCACCCTGTATCTCGACAACCGGAAGAGCTATCACAATTCTGCTTGCGCCATTATCAATTTCATAAAAAAGTAGCACACTGTCGCGAAAACCGCAATGCTCTATCTTTACTGATAAGGGAGATACCCCGCAAAAGTGCCCAAATTGGGATACCCTGTACGGCAACATGGTTGTTTGAAACACTTGCAGGTCACTGATGATGATCAAAAACATCTCAAAACGTGACTTACAGTCACAGAACATGACATGCCAAAAATTATGAAAATCGATCCCAGCCTACTCTTTTTATGAACAAAACTATTTGTTTCCAAAAAAAAAACTTCAACGCCTTGTACCAACGCAACAAGACGATTTTGGATATAGGTAAGTTGGCCTAAATCAACTTGTTTTTATCCCAGGAGTCCACAGCCGAGCCATGCATATCCCAACCTTTTACAGACACCCTGTATATGTGGTTTCCCCAGAAATATAATTTTATGACATCTGTTACTTCTTCATCAATTAACTGAGAAAAATGTTTTTTTCTTCGTTTTGTCATTGAATGATTTATTTAAGTTGATCTTTAACTGCCTCTGGCAGATTTAAAAACAACCCCGCAAAGATAACCAATTATAAGAAAAAGTTGCCCATTTAATAAAGATATCGAAATGGTACCTTTATAACATGAAGGGTTATTCAAAACAGCGTTTTTGTATTTTTTTATTTTTTTTTTTTTAATGGGCCACATTTCTCAGAAAAATATAATAACTTTTGAACCTTCAACAATTTGATAACCACATATACGGTTAGTTTGATAGCAAATGACCCCCTCTATATATACCCCACTGCTTTATATAGCTACCAAATGAATGCAGAAGTCACAGGGGTCACCTGCTACCCTTCTGTGTTACCCGATATTGTATATATGTCTACATGAGCTTTTTATCTTCAAATTGAAAATTCTTTATTATTAATATCTGAAGCGCTCGAGTAGGTTCCCACGACGCTCGAGTAAATCCCTATTTAGCCTCTTTGCCTCAACTATAATTTATATTATTCATTCCGTGTTTAAATAGTATTTGATACGCCCTGTATGACTCAATAATTTCTGAAATTGAAATGCCTGTGATGATAATGGACCAATCGATAAGAAGAATTAGAAGAGGAAAGAAGGCAAAGGCCAGTAAAGCCACTGAACCAGATAGTAGTAGGGCTATGAGAGTTGGCAACGGTACTAAAGGAAAGTGAAGAAGACGTACACTCAGAAGAAGAAGAACTCTTATAAAAAATGTAAACAGTAAGATTTGAAATCGGTTCCTGAAGTAGGGGGATTCGCCTTTTGACCATGGTAGGAGACACATGGCGTCTCCAGGTCAAAAGTCAGGTTAATGTGTGTGCAAGTCTATAATCTTTCTAATTACCTGATCTGGATTAAAATCCAATATTTATTGTGAAGTTTAATGAGTGTGTGTGAAAATTATAAAGCCCTTTTATCTCTACGCCGGTATAGAGGCCGGATGGTGACGGATTCACCGGATAAAGGGGCCATACTTGAAATCAAACGTGCTCAGCATGAGCACATACGATAGAATCTTTGGACATTGATGAACTCGGCTGCCGGGCATGGTGACGGACTACGGTGTCTTTAGTGCTCGAGTCGAGTGAAAATATTATTACATAACCATATATATATATATTCTTGAAAAAATTAATTACCTGATCTGGAGAAATTGTTACCGAAAGGTGACAGAAATCCAATAAACCCAAAAGAAGAAGAAGAAGAAGAAGAGTTCCTGAAGTAGTAATTTTTTAAACAACAAATTGTTGAATTGTATATTTGGACTAATTTGGACAAATTTTTTCAAACATTATTATTTTGACAAGCCTTTGCTCCCATCGACAAAAATGATATTCTCCATTTGAATTGATAATGTATTCTGTGCCTTAGGATTTGGATGAGATGGAGAAAGGTATGTGATGATTGTAATAGATATTATATTATCTTTGTAGTTACCGACATAACGGGAAAATGAGACTTTCTCTCCACGTCCACATTATTTCTTCAACCATTGCTTTATTATGATCTCAGATGGAAATGACTGTAGAACCACAAATTGAGGATTGAGTAGGTCTCTTATTAATAGTTCAATAATGATACAATGGCCAAAAAAACAGTGATGGAAGAAAGAAGGTATAAAATATAGTACTTATTTGATATGGTGTTATTGAAAGTTACAAGTGTTTTTTTCAGTTGAATATAAGTACTTTATTCAATTTGAAGTTGATAATACCTTTTATAATACCAATATTATTTCCTTTTGCAGATTCTGGTGGTTGTCATTTGGAATAATATGTTTATTGACTATTGTTACAAGATTTTATAATGTAACAGAACCTGACCATATTTGGTGAATATAGAGGAAAACTGTATATTCAAATTAATTATTTTTTTTTTATTTCAGCTGGGATGAAACTCATTTTGGGAAAATGGGCAGCTGGTACATCAACCGCACATTTTTCTTTGATGTCCATCCACCATTAGGAAAGGTAATAGGTAACACTTATACCAAAAAGTCTTGTAATATTAATATAATTTCAGATGCTCATTGGCCTCTCTGGATATCTAACAGGATATGATGGCAAGTTTGCATTTGATAAACCTGGTGACAAATATGAAAATACCTCATACATTGGAATGAGATTGGTTAGCTAATTTTTCAAAATCTTGAAATGGACATAATTTTTTGATATTATATTCCAGTTCTGTACAACCCTTGGGGCTACAATAGTGCCAATGTCTTTTGTATCAGTTGAAGAGTTGACTTATAGTATTACAGCTGCTTCATTTTCATCTTTATTGATAATTTTTGGTAAGTTGATTGAAATTATGAATAATTCAATTTAGAATCATTGGCTCTGCCTCCAGCTGATTTACTGTTTCAGCATTAGTTTGCAATCAAATCACTTTTTTTCAGATGTTGGTCTCATTACTTTGAACCAATATATATTGTTAGATCCTCTTCTCTTATGCTTCATGATAGGATCTTTTATGGGTGCTGTGAAAGTATCTTCAAAAAGAATCCAAGAATTTTCTGTTCAATGGTGGGTGTGGTTAACATTTACTGGTACAATGTTGTCCTGTTGCATATCAGTCAAGTTTGTAGGATTGTTTGTTGTCTTGCTTGTTGGGCTGATGACTGTAGCTGACTTGTGGAATATTTTGGGAGACTTGAGTAAACCTGTGGTGAGTTTTACCATAGATAAAAAATTAATCTATGGTTTTACAATGTTGTACATAATCACATGAAATTGATAGGGATTTCAGTAGTATATTTGTTTCAAATTTGAATTCACAAAATTTGAGATCTATGAAAATAAACTGGGGTTCTCCATTTTTTGAACTCTTTCAATAAAGTGAATTAATGTCAGTAAATCAAACAAAAATTCACCTCCTCAAATGAAACACATTATTACAAAAAATCAGCTATATTTGAGAATTGAGACATGCACAATTCATTTAATTATTTTGTATGCAACAATTGATGATTGATGATGAAATGCTTTGTATACTGACAAAAAATCAAATTGTATTTTTCTTCTTACAAATTGAAGAAATATTTTTCCTAATACTCCCAAATTCTATTGAGTAAATCCAAGTGAAAAAATTGTATCAATTGTCAATTCAAATACTGAATTGTTCTTTTCAAAAATTGTTTCTTTCAAAAATTACTCTTTCAAACTCAAATTGTACCTTATAAGTGAATTTTTATTTTTACCACTTTATTTGATGCAAAATCATTCAAACAAAGTGGTTTCAGATGAAATCACTGGTTCTATGGACTCCTGACTCATTTTGTTGCCAACAAAAATTTTTTTTGTAGAAAATAAAAATGTATTGATAAATTGTATGCTGTTAAACAACCTATTATTCAATAAGTTAGTGAATCCCATTGGATAAACATAAACTGTGCATTCCAAGTTTTCTTTACTTTGGTTGTATAGTTTCTATTTCCCATTGAAAAATTAGTGCATCTATAGTCTTATTGCAACCATTTTGCATAAGCTCTAAATGATGTCAGTATGATGTTTGAATAGATTGGTTTACAGGCAAGTATTTCCAAATAGTCTATTATTATTATTATCATCCTCCAGTGATAAAAAGGCTTATTAATTCTTCATAGATGCCAGAAATTGATTGAATATATAGGGTAGGTGACCTCATACAAATTTTATTTCAAGTGATTCCTATCTAGATTTTTGTAACATGATATCCCCAGCATAGATTTAGGTGAGATGATAAAAGTTCCATACACATCAAAAGTGATTTCATGTCATATGAGATGCCCCACTCTGTATAGGTAATTTTATTGGTTCTTGTTTACCTTGGTTTATTTTCATGAATTTGATTAATTCCAGAATGCTAATGGTCTTTTGGCTTTTGGATTGACATATTTCAAATAGTGGTTTTGCTTGGCCAAAATTTCACTATGTTGCTAAATTCACCAATGTTGATGCCATGGATTGGTGATTCTGAAGTACACTCATATTTTATTCCTTCAAAAATCCATAATTTGATAAAATTACTTTAGTCAGTTGGGAATTATAGCAACAGGTTGATTGTTCCCTTGGAACCAGTTATAATAGTTCAGAATTAGTGGCAAACTATTTTTCCAATTGAATTCACTGTCAGTTAATTAACATATTACCTGGCATATTACATAGTAAATTACTTCTAGAATCACATAAGAATATCCAGTTTTGTTCTTTGTAACAAAAAATACTGTTTCTTTCATCCCATCTTATTTGACTAGAGCAAGACCAATGGGTTTTGACTTTTCATCAGCATCACTCTCCTTTTTCTTGAGAAGGGTACCAAGCAAAATCCCACCAAACAATATTAACCCCACTGTTGAATTTGAAATGAACTTTTTAGAACAGTCAGTAGCACTATTTATGTTAAGAGTAACTATCTGGTTTGCAAGATGTGCTGATACAATAGCTATAGAAGCATAATATGGCCATGTTTGTGAATTCATTACTCCAGAAAGTATCAAACTTCCTATCATAGTGGCACCAAAACCACTCAGCCATATCTTTGTGTCATCACCAAACTTAATAGCTGTTGATTTTATACCTAATTGTAAGTCATCACTTTTATCTTGATGTGCATAAATGGTATCATAAATGATGGTCCAACAAATTCCTGCCATGTATAAAGGCAAACAAATTGCTAGATCAGGGTAGCCCTTAATGGCACTGTATCCTAGTAGAGCTCCCCAGTTGAAGGTTAAACCAAGTACTAATTGTGGCCATTGAGTAAATCTTTTCATCAAAGGGTAAGCTACCACTAGGCCCAAGGAACTAGCACCAAGAAATACACTTGGCCAGTTCAATTGCAGAAGTATAAGTAAACCTAAGCTGAGTTGTCCACCAAGAAATACAACAGCTTGTTTCATAGAGATGTCACCATTTACTAGAGGCCTTTCTTTAGTTCTTTCTACTTGTTTGTCTATATCTCGATCCCACATATCATTTATAGTGCAGCCTGCTCCTCTCATGACAAAAGATCCTGTTGCAAATAAAGCTAGCATGTAGATGTCAGGAAACGTTCCAGCAGCTGCTGCAGAGGTTATACTCCAGCCGCATGGCCAAAACAGAAGCCAGGTACCTATAGGTTTATCTATCCTGGCTAGTTTCAGATAGGGTTGAATTTGTAGTGGAGCAGCATCTACCATTCGTACACAAAATTTTTGTTTCACTTCATCATTTTTCAATATACTTGTAGAGTAGCATGTGTTTGATGATAGAACTTTAGGTAAGTTGGTGTTATTGAGACTTGTTGTTCTACAATTCTTTGTGTAAATATCACAGAATTTGTGGACTTTTCTAATTGTTCTAGTATACATTTTTATGAGTAAACTATATTACTTTTTCATTATAATTTTTGCAATCGATAATGTCATATTTGCAATGAATATTTTCATATTCTTGACTAATTATTCATAACTTCATAATTCATTCATAACCTCAAATAGATAACCTTGAATCTTCTTCTTATTTTTTACATCTCGTCGGCTTCACAGCTTGTTAATCTTCTTTTTTGTCATTCTACATTCTATATACAGGCTGTCCCATAAGTCATGGATCAAAAGGGGTGGGGTCGTAGGGGTGCCATTTCCAATCAAACTATACAGGGAGATCCACGGTGGATGGCCTATTAGAAGTACCTGGAGAACGAAAAGACAGAACATTCTGAAAATTGAGATGCTTTGATGATTGAACATTCTCTATCCGTCTAAAATATTTTCATCGATACAAACTTGTTGCCACTTCTATCAGAAACAACTAGCAACTTCGTTATTTCAAATATTTTATATGCATTTTTATATTCTTCCTGAGAAGCTGATGTCATCAATGCATCACACTTGGGGTCTACCAGGAATGATTACAGAGATATAGGGTGTGCAAAAATCAAAATCGAGATTTTTCAATTTTAGGATTTTTTTGTGTCGAAACTATTCATTATATCGATCAAAACGGCTTACATATCCCAATCTTAACATTCGATTCATTATCTACTGACAATAAGGACATGTACCTAAGCCGTTTTGATCGACAATGAATAGTTTCGACACCAAAAAATCCTGAAATTGAAAAATCTCGATTTTGAACACCCTATATCTCTGCAATCATTCCTGCTAGACCCCAATTGTGATGCATTGATGAAATCAGTTATTTTTTAGGAAGAATCTAAAAATGCAATAATAAACAGGGTGTTCCATTTGAAATAAAAAAGTTGCTAGTTGTTTCTGATAGAAGTGGCAACACTGTATCGATGAGAATATTTTCGACGGATAGAGAATCAAAGCATCCCAATTTCCAGAATGTATTCTGTCTTTTCGTTCTCCCGATACTTCTATAATAGGCCATCATCCACCCTTGTATACGCGACCCATTTGAAAAATGAAATAATGATAAGAGGGCTGTTTTGTATGCCCCTCTCCCCCTTATTACGTTAAACTATTTCAGAATCTGCATTGAATAGGCAACTTTTTCTGATAGTTGGTCATCTCATATTTGTGGGGTAGTTTTTAAATCTGCCAGTGGCATCAAAAAGTCAACTGCATTATTTAATTCAACGAAAGGTACCCATGCGGATGAAAGTTGTAAAAGAAAAAATCACAAATGTGACATATAGTTTTATTGTAATTGATTGTTTAGTAAACAAATGAATATGAGAAATAAAAAAAAAAGAATTATTTTTCAACCATCAACAATGGGCTTTTATCACAAAATAGTAATTTTCCTAACAAGTGCGGAAAGTGATTCTTTCCCGCACGTGACTGCCGTTGACACGATAACGACGCGAAGACACTTTCCGCATGAGTTAGGAACAATATTTTTTCTACAATCGTGGAAAATTGATTGAATCGTTCAATTAATTATTCAAGCAAATAGGAACAACTAACAAGAGATATATATTCTCTATCTATTAATTATTAGTAATAGCTATTGTGAACTTACAGTTTGACGCATTATGTTGGTTCATTGTGGAAGCCAGCAGGCCCATTAGGAGTTTGGTCTCTAGGTTCCAGACACTTCTATGAAATGGGCCAATAATACCTATTCTTCATTCGGTTTTTTTCATTTCTTTATTGTTGCACCATTCAATAAAACCCGTGTATAGCTTCTCATACCTTTCTTAAGACTTCGTTGGTGATAACGCATCTGTATCAAATCCCTATAGCTAGAACTTTTTGATCACATTGTGGCATTTCCACTGAATCGAAAATGACAGTAACGCTTTGTCTGTCACTTCGACAATTTCAAACTTATTTGAGGTTTGATTGGCATACAAATTGACGTTTCCCGTCAGATCAATCCAAATCTATAGGGGGATTTTTATAATAATCAATTTTTATTTCTCAATATTTCTTCATTTTTACAATAAATAGTGCAATTTGATGGATGATTCTGAACATACATACTTAATACTGCAACAAACAAACTTAAACTATTATATTCAATCACCAACCACTTATATTTACTAGCGATTTTATCATATCTTTGTTTTCCCGCACTGTTGCGGGAAAATGACACTTCCCAAACTAAATTGCGTGCGGGTATAGGGTGAATCACGCACGCTTGTAGAAAAAAAAATGTATTTCATAAGTCGATAGAACTCACCCAAACTAGCTCACCACCGCAAACCGTTTCTTGCTGTGAGCTCCCTACATTTTATAAAAAATCATTGAAATCCCCGATTTTTCGGACTTCTGAAAACGAGGCGATGATGTGACGTCAAAACCCTAATACTGAAACAAGACTATTCCAGACAGAGATGAATGATACATGATTTCTGACAGAGTGAATTAGTGCGAGATCACAGTTGAAAGAATTAATATATTAGTTGCCTCAATCTCCGTCGGGCGTTTGGTATTTTCTTTTAACTATGGCGAGATGAGGTTTCTACGTCATAAGAGGGTCCGTTTTCAGAAGGTACTATTATTTATGTCCAAAAATAAAACATTCCAGTTAATTTTTCGATCGAATTATGTCGTCAATCATTATTTATGTATAAAAGGATCATTATAAACATGGTTTGAGTTGAAAGTTCTACTAAGGTGTACACGCCCATTGGATAACCACATCATTGTCGGCTAAGTCGGAGAAAAAATCAAGTTGCCTGTATACTATCACATATACGGTTAGTTTGATAGGAAGTAAACCCCCTACCACGATACCTCACTTCTCTTGGTCCATGACTTATGGGACAACCTGTTATAGGTCTATAAACTCTGGTTACTGTTTATTCATATGACAATTAATATACCTATTTATTCACTGTATGTATCTATATGGAAATTTAACAATTTGAATTTTTTGACAAAATCAAGAATACCACTGGGGATGAAGACTCAAATGATACTTACTGACTCACTACACCAGATATTACTGAAAAAACAGTGATATTACTGATATTGCTTTAAATTCTGCCCCTTTTGCGACACAGTAGGGTGCTGAAGTGTCTCACTTTGTCACCTGGTTTCACAGCTTAGTTGAGATATCAACAAGAGGTATCATTAATTAATTCATATGATTATTGAAATCTTTTTTTTGTTTTCATTTCAGACACATACTCTGAAGAATATTTTAGCAAGAGGGTTATGTTTGATAGTTTTGCCGATGGTACTGTACATAATATTCTTTTACATACATTTGAGGGTATTAAATAGGAGGTGAGTGAAAAACTGGTCTGTACTGATTCATATGATACTTTCCTATAGGCGATTCAAAATAAGCGTTATTACGCCCTCTTACGAATATTCAAGTAACTAGTGGACTTTTTCTCTTTCATAAACCAAGATTCAGATGCACCGATTGCAATATACAGGGTGGCCCACGGTCGATGGTACCTTAGACGTATACGGAAAACGGTGTGCATTGGATTATCGTGAAAATTCGGTTACTCTAATAAGCGTTTGTGATCTAACGATTCAAAATATTGTCAGAGATGCAGCGTTGCTACTTTTACCAAAGAGTAGCATCATCTTTGTTATTTCAAATGGAACACCCTATTTCATTGCGTTTTTAAATTCTTCTCGAAGAGCTGATTTCATCAATGTATCACACTCGGGGTCTAGCAGGAATTATTACAGAGATATAGGGTGTTCAAAATCGAGATTTTTCAATTTTAGGAATTTTTTGTGTGGAAACTATTCATTATCGATCAAAACGGCTTACATGTCCCTATCTCAACTTTTGATTCACTATCTACTAACATTTAATTGGAACAGATACAGGGTGATCAAAATTCTGAATCTTGGACCATCCTGTATTTTTTCCAATTAAATGTCGGTAGATAGTTGATCAAAAGTTAATATAGGGAAATGTAAGCCGTTTTGACCAATGATGAATAGTTTCGACACAAAAAAATCCTAAAGTTGAAAAATCTCGATTTTGAACACCCTATATCTCTGTAATAATTCCCGCTAGACCCCAAGTGTGATGCATTGATAAAATCACCTTTTCGAGAAGAATCTAAAAACGCAATAAAATACAGGGTGTTCTATTCGAAATAACAAAGATGATGCTACTTTTTGGTAAAAGTGGCAACGCTGCTTCGCTGAAAATATTTTGAATCGTTAGATCACAAATGCTTATTGAAGTAACCAAATTTTCAGGATAATCCGATGTAACGTTTTCCGTATACGTCTAAGGTACCATCGACCGTGGGCCACCCTGTATACATCTCAAATACCCACTCTGTGAACTACAGCATCGTATATATTCCACTAAATTTGCAATATTTATTCAACTACTAAATGGGAACAAAATGCAAACTAACATAACCTGAAATTTGGGCATTTTATTTCGCGAATCTCATGAATTTGAAAAAGTGTAACATACTTTATTGAACGAATATCTGCTGAATAGCTCTCTCGAATCACGAGAGTACACAAATAAACAGTCAAAAGTGAAGTTTTCTTTGCTTAAATCACTACCGAAAAATCGCTGCGATCTTAATTCAGTCGCCTATCCGACACCTTTTTATACATGCCTACCTAAATATTCAAAGGAAATAAAAAATTTAAAAGATTTCGAATTTTGTTTAATTCATTGATCATATAAATAGTTTTGAATCTCCAGTCTTGGAATCAGAGGAATGTTTGATGGGATTTTTTTTTTATTGACAAAAATGCTCTCTCACTACCGCCAGTCGTGTATATTATACAAGGTTTTTCTAATTTTATAGTGGAAATGGAGATGGTTTCTATAGTTCCGCTTTTCAATCTCAACTAATAGGTGAGTGTAGCATATCATATCAAATGTATGATGTTTCCAAATAAATCTAACATAATTATTGCAACTATGAAGGAAATAGCCTACACAATGCAAGTATGCCTTATCAAGTGGCCTATGGAGCGGTGGTTACTATGAAAAACCATCGGACCGGTGGAGGATATTTACATTCTCATTTTCATCTCTACCCAGAAGGCGTGGGTGCTAGACAACAACAAGTGAGTCAAAAGTAGTTCATTTTAGTGAGGAAATTCAATATATCGGGTGTCTCAGGTCTCATGTCCCAAAGCTTATGGGCCACCAGATATCCGAGATAATTCTCACACTTATATTGGCATATTATTAAATCAAGAAGTTCACGAAATAATGTATCTAAGTCAGCTTCTTCTCGAAAAACTCACTGATAACCAATTATAACTTCGTTTTTTGATATTGTACCCCCATGATATTTTTTTCTCAGTTCATCTTATAGAACAAATTTTAGCTTCACCATCGATATTTCTCGAGTGCATTATATCGATGGCTTAGTGGTAATACCCAGTATCATCAATTTTAACAAAATCATGATTTTTACGGATTTTTGTTCGGCAAAATTGTGCTAAACGTTTGTGGTGCCTGGACCAATAGAAGTAATTAATTTCACTATCATCAGTATTATAGTAAAACCACATAGCGACCAAAGAAGTAATACCATGTATCAATCAAAAAAAGTTGTCATTCTGATGAAATAACTGTAACATTCTTGCAAAATATGATAGGTGCTATTGAAGTTGGATACATGATAAACCCAACAACATATAGCCATTATTGTTGTATCCTGGAAACTTGAAGGAACGTTGATACGTGTTATTGCCACTGAGCCATCGATATTCAATATTATGTTTGGACAGGGTTGCCGAAATTAGACACATTCAAAGAATACAAAACTAGATAAACTGATGTCAGTGTGTCTGATTGTGAAATGTTATGTCAACTCAATGGTGGAAATCGCATATCAATATTCAACCTCGTTTCAGAGTTGACAGGTATTATCAGGATTGTTCATTTTATTCATGAAATGAGGGCTAACATTATTTTATTGTCCACCACGTCGCGCCACTGAAGCGTGAGATCAGAGTTGGTAAAACTGATAATAGTATATTATGTTACAAGTGTCATGAACGTCAGCAGCAGAGCGAACGTGTTTAATATTTTGAATAAATTACAGATCGTCAATCTGTGATTGATCGATCATTTATTAACGTGGTACATAATCCGTACGCTAAATGTCATTCTAGTTATGTGAGTAGAAAAATATAATTCATCTTTTCCTGTTATTTAGCATCTTCCTAGAATATCTTCCTCTCCATCAATGTAAGAATTGGTCGTTGAGTTCCACATTGAGAGTAAAAAAAACGTGAGCCTGCTATCAAGTCTTTCCATCACCATTTTTGACATTGACATTGACTTCTCACGTTTTAGCGCCAAATGGTTGGACTGATGAAATTGTTTCCAAAGCATACAGTATTTATCATAAAAATGGATCCTCAGATGCTGAAATCATTCTTGGTATACTGATCTGACACAAAAATAGAACTTCTTTGAAAAAAATATCCGTAATTTTTGTTATTGTACATACACCTTGAATCCACTTTTTTGAGGAACACCATATTTTTTACTAGTTCTAATTTTCTGTTCAAAAAATATAAAGGTATACAGCATATTATTCATCTAAATTTTCTTCTTTTTTATTGCAACCTTTGTAACCCCAGAGAAACAAGAAACAATTATGTTCCTGTGAAGATATTTACAGATATCCTGTTAGCGATGGAAGAACATTTGACAATTGTTTCTTGCAGATTCATCAAATACTTCCCCAAAACTGATCACTGATTCATTACACTAAAATTGATTTATAAAATATGTGGTTTAAAAATAGAAGATATACTGTACTGTATATACATGTATGTACAGTGTGTTTCACCCAATGATGCATCTTTGGTGGTATGTTCATCAAGAAAAATCCTCTTATGTCGTGAGATTCTTTCACCTCTCGAAATTAATGTACACAAATCTGGACCACTCCTTATACAGGGTGTCCCGAAATTACATAGAAAGATTTCAGCCACAGATTATAGGAGCAAATATAGTGAAAAAGTTCATATAAACATGGGCCCCCTGGTGGTTAAGGGGTTGAAGCTATGAAGGAGAGCCCGAGATGATGATTTTTTGTTAATATTTTCGAAACCCCCCTATGACAATTATCACCAAATTTCGTACATGTACCTAAGTTTTTATGTACAATTTGAAAATGTTGAGAATATTCCTAAATTTCGATCAGGGGCGTGGCAAATAGGTGGGGCTTGGGGAACTTTATCCCCCAACTTCTCTGTTTATGCAATTGTCGGCAGTTTGACCAGGAAATATGAAAATATCATAATTTCTACTCAAAAATAGTAATCTTGTTTAGTTTCGATAGCACTCACCATTTCCAGTCTGCTACGTATTTTTAATCAAACATCGAAAGTACATTATCAAATAAGGGGTATTTTTCATCAAACCATAATTCTTTGAAAAATTCAGTATATCGAGAAAAAAACACTATTTTTTAAAAAATGGTGAATGCTATCGAATCTAAACGAGGGTACCATATTTTGTAAAGTAAAAATAGTGAGATTTCCATATTTCCTGTCAAACTCCGAAAATTGCATAAACATAACCTATTTCCCACGCCCATGATCAACATTTCCGAATTTGGCTTAAAAAGTAAGGTAAGTATATGAACAAAATTTGGTTATTTTATCACTGTGGGTTGCGAAAATATTCACTTGAAACCATCATCTCTGGCTCTCCTCAAGATAGCTATAGCCCCCTAGGGTGCCATTTTACATGAAATTTTATCAGTAATTTTGGCTAGAATCTGTGGTTGAAATCTTTCTGTGTAATTAAGGGACACCCTGTATATCATTGAATTTAGAATGAAAAATCCTATTATATTATCGAAAAAAAAAAATTCCATACGGGTGCGATTTAAACGGAGTTGTTCCTTGTGGAATGTGAGACAGAAGATTATTATATGTTTTGAATTTTCTTTCTTATAGAACATCTTTCACATCTCATAGGAAATCTATTTCAGATCACAACTTACACTCACAAAGACGATAATAACAAATGGATTATCAAAAAATATAACTCCGAAACTACTGATGACGTTGAAATAATTCGAAATGGTGACTTGGTACGTCTAGAGCATCTTTCTACCAAACGTAATCTCCACTCACACAAAGAACCGGCTCCCATAACTAAAAAACATTACCAAGTAAGGAATCATTTTTAAAATCACATACTTTTATTTGTTATAACACAGGACACTAATTTCTAAAAACTATTGGAATTCATCAATTAACCCTTTATTAAATTTTTTTATGTATTCATGTACTTAACCCTATTATAAACAGATATATTTCTTGGGGTAATAATAATAATAAGTTCCATGAAATAGTAGGCTATTCAGATGGTGTTTTTTATATCACAGCATATCTGGTCGAATAAAGTATATGTATTCATAAAATGTTACTATTATCTGTTCAGTTATACAGGGTGGTCTCAAAGTTGACGATCGATTTATTTGAACAAATGTAGAACTTTGTACACTGATTTCACGAAAGCTTGGAATTGGTAGTCACCACGGTCTAGCATGGAAAACTAGCTTCCTGATTAAGAGATTTCAATGTGTTAGAATTAATAACTTCATTTCAAATGCTATTAGATAGATTTCAAATGCTATTAAGGTTTCTTCTGGTATTCCTCAAGGTTCCCATTGTGGTCTAATTCTGTTGACGATGTTAAAAATCTACAAAACAATATCTAATATCAATTATTCCAATTAGCATCAGAATGACATTGAAAATGTTTTTAGTTGGTCTGATTTGATGCGTCTGAACGGTAACAAGTGTTTCTGTATAATTCTATATCTCCACTTACATTTGATTTTTAAATAAAAGATGAATATTTGTTGCGCGTCGCTGAAAACAAAGACTTATGCATTTTAATTGATCAAAAGAAAGAAGGAAAGCTCAAAGTCATCTCCACCACCTTATAACTTCAAGCAAAGGCATGTGAAATATTATAAAAAACAAAAGTTGACTTACATGGAGGTGAAACAGTATTTTTTTAAATAGATGCCGATGTCTATCATCATAATACCGTGGTTATATTGGCAAAAAGGGGGGTTAAGAATGAACAGGTTTTCATTAAAAATGAAGTGATAGTAAGTTGACATTTAAACAACATGTTTTAAAAGTAGGCTATAGAAATCTTGGATTTGTTATGATAAACACAAAGGATATGTCACTAAATAGTTTAAAACTATTATACTGTGCATTTGTTAGGTCAGTCTTAGAATATGCTTCTGTGATATGGTGTCCTTACTAAATTGGCGATATAGGGGCGATTGAAGGAATACAGAGAAAATTTCTCAGACATTTTGCATTCAGATTGGGAATAAATTGGATTCATGATTATGACAACATCCAAAATAGCACAGGTTTGGAAACGTTAGAAAAACGTAGGTTCAAGTTGTGCTTTTTATATAAATTGTTGAATGGATGACTGCCACAAACTTGTATTCGAAATTTAGCTAAATACAAACAGTAGGACTAAAAACAAACCAGTATTTTACATTAATCATCATTCTATACAAATTATGGTATGCATAGCCCCCTCTCAAGGATACCAAGAAAAAATAATAATGATTGTAATTCATTTCAGTCTTTCATGAAGTCATTAATTACCATTAATAAATACCGCTTTATAAGCAGCTGTGTTTGATTACTGTGATATAGATTTTCAATCTATGTAGATTCCTTATGATCTAGGATATATAACAACTGTGCTTGATTACTGTGACAGGTACTTATAGATCCATAATGATTTAGGATATTCTTATGCCATATGTTTATTTGTTATATTTGATACTTACATGGGTATATCCCATCTTGAAATAATATAATGTGATATAATGTATGCAATGAAGAACCGTTAATAAAGTTATATTCTATTCTAAAAATCGTTAGTATGAAAGTTGCCAAATAAAGCAAAATCAATTATTTGGAAATTTAAAATTAAAGAACTGGTGATTTGTGCAAATAAAATGGCACAATAAGTTGATGAAAAGAAATAACTAGTGGACATAATATCAACTTACGTGGTGAGATCAGTAAATTCATGGATGTTTATAAATTCACTTATTAGAGACTCGGCACGGCGACACGGCATTTGGAGAAAAATTATGAAAATTTTTTGTAGAACAGGATGCATTTCACCAATAATTTTTAATTTTTATTTGCCTAAAGCTTCAAATCTAGTATTATTTATAATTCTCTTATTCTGCAACCTTTTTACAATTGAAATCAATGTGTAAACTTTGAGAACACCATATATGCACATTAAAATTGTGTCCTTGTCTATTGAACTAATATTGATAGGATAAACAAAATGATTCATGAGGCGAAATAACATGAAATTTAGGTTACAGGCTATGGGGAAAATGGCACCGGTGATGCCAATGATGTATGGCGTATAACAACAATAGGTGCGAAGGATGGAACAGAATTAACCGCAGTCACCAGCAAGTTGAGATTGATTCATTATTTGCAGTCCTGTATATTAACAACAAGTGGAAAACAACTCCCCAAATGGGGATATGAACAGCAGGAGGTTTCTTGTAATCCAAACCTCAGAGATCCAAATGGCGTTTGGAACGTGGAAGAAAACTTTTTCGAAAAACGTAAATTTTTCACTCTTTGCCAGCATAGTATTATTTTTTCTGCTCTATATTCAAGAACCATTTAATGGTGTGAGATTGCATTTTTTATGGTCAATTTTCAACAATTTTCTGATGGTGAAAATTTGCATTCTTGTCCATATAACTTTTTTGTTATATTACAATGAGATTCAATTCATTTTGATTTCAAGAAGCTTTAATTTTGTTGTATTGGCTACACAAAAGGTACTTTACAGAAACATAGTACCTACCTACATATAGTTTTTTGTATGCCCTGACAATTTGAATTGTTTTGACCACAACTATTCACTTTGATAGTAAGTTGTGTTTACTGATTGCTGATATGAACTGAACGATTAGAAATTCCGTTCAGAGAACATATACCTACATTTCATGACATATTGGAGAAAATTGCAACTAAGAAATTATTATTGTAAAAGATTGATTTCATGAAATTTTCTCCATATATATATCGAAATCAGTTATACAAAAACAATTATGAACATCACACGAACGTTCACTAGTCTCAGACAATATTGGAGACTTGCTCCAAAATATTTTCTCCAACCAATAAATTGTCCTTGCCACTATTTTTGAAATTTCCAAAGCATACTTGAATTTTCAAAAACTGAAATTATGTTAAAAATAAGGCGAGAATTTGGAATAGTTATTCTACCAATCCAGGGACGCACTGTATATTCTTTATATATTTTCAGTGCCAAATGTGAGCTTTGAAGTATATGCTCCAAGTTTCTTAGAAAGATTCATTGAATCGCATGCTGTGATGATTCAAGGCAATGCAGGCCTCAAACCTAAGGAAGGTGAAATCACTTCTAGACCCTGGCAATGGCCAATAAATTATAGGGTAGGTACAAAAATAGCAAAATTTTGGGACAGCACGTGGTCACCTATACATTCGAGGCGGCCCTACGTTAAATCACATAGTGTCCCTAAGTTAAGGTGGTCGGCCTCTACTACAATATTTGAATATCATATTTTAGGGTCAATTCTTTTCTGGTTCCCATCACAGGATATACCTACTTGGCAACCCCCTAATATGGTGGGGAAATTTGATATTCATTCTGCTGTTTGTAATTGTTTTTACTGTGAATGCCATAAAGTTGCAAAGGGGATACATCAAGTCATTTACAGGTAGACATTGTTTTTTTTAGCAACTACCGATTATTCATTACTTTTGATTACTTTTCATTCAACAGATGCTCATAGGCAGAAATTGGTCGCATGTATGTGGCTGTTTCTAGGATGGCTTTTGCACTATGTGCCATTCTGGGCGATGGGAAGAGTTCTCTATTTTCACCATTATTTTCCGGCATTGTTGTTTAGTTCGATGATTACAGGTGAGTCTGTTATTACTTTTGTAGTATTTTATGTATTGGATCTTTCTTTTATTTGATTCAGACCAGGGAAGAGTCCCTCTTATCCTGATATCTATTATGAAACAAAATGAAAACGGTATTGAAGTTTGATGCGAATAGCCCTTCTGCCCCAAATAAGTTTCAGAAAGACATTCTGAGAATTGAAAAAGATTGAACGGAATAAATAAATATCAAAAACTTGAGAATAGTAAATTTGGTCATAATGTCGATATTTTCTCTAGTTTATGGACAATCTCGGTCCTTTGAACTTTGATTGATCACCTGGCTCATAATCAACTGCATTTTGAAGAAGCTGATTCTCATGAACCTCAGCTTTTTCGAAAGTCTTGATGTTTCGTTCTCTAATGACTGACTCGATTGAAGGGAGTTTCAGATCCCTGGCGATCTGGTTATTCCGAACATACCAAGGAGATCCTGTCACCATTCTCGCGATTTTGTTTTTTTATGTTTGTAATCTGGTGATATGAGATTTAGCTGTATGGCCCCAGACTACCGAGACATACAGTAAAATTGGCCTGATAACCATGATGTAAATATTCAATTTCTGTCTCAAACCCAATTTACTTCGTCTGTTTAGAAATGGATACAGGGCTCCAATGGCTCGTTGTGCTGTGCTGGCCGTTTTGTCAATGCACACACCTCACCTAAGTAGGTATTCAACTTGTGTAGACCACTCTAACCCATGACCATCCAGGACTATTCTAGTTCTGGGAGGCCTCCGCTCCCTTCTGAGAGCGACCAATTGTGTTTTTGTAGGGTTCAATTTGATCTTCCATCTTAGGAAGTACTCCTGAAAGAGAATTCAGCGCGCTTTGGAGGTTCATAGCTGCTTGCTCGAAATTTGTCGAATATGCAAGACCAGCCGTATCATCAGCAAAAAGCGACATCTTGCACATCACTGGTCTCCGCAAATCGCTAGTACATAAACTGTACAACAGCGGCAATACAACTGCACCCTGAGGAACACCAGCTTCAATGGGCTTGATACCAGATCGTTGATTATCAAGTTTCACTAGAAAAGTTCGATTTGTCAGAAATGAACACATCAACTGAATCGTCAGGAAAGCCCATATCGATCATTTTGTACAAGATACCATTATGCCACACCTTGTCAAATGCTTTCGCTATGTCAAGGAGAGCAAGATGGGTCTTTTTCTATAATTTCTCAACGATATTATGTTCTCGATGAGTCTCAAGAACTCCTGTAGTGACGAATCTGAGGGTTGTTATGGTCTAACAATAAATAGGTTCTCTACTACTCTACTAGATCCGCCCTTGGCTGACCGTCCTGCACAGAGCATTACAAGTCATTCATAACAAAAAACTGGTGCGAAATCATAACCATCATTGTTCGCGGAGTATGAAATATGGAATGGAAATCAATAATGAAAATTTATTAATTCTCTCCAGTTAGGAACTTTTGAAAAATACCAAAATTATCCCGGGATAAACTCCCGATGCATCTTACTGTGACTGATTTTTTTATGATAAAAAAAATTGGACAGTATATAGCAAATATAGACCATAATGTAGTAGTTCTACCTTACACCATGTGTATGTTTTAATGTGATGATTATCTCAAGTTATCATAATTTGATTCCGTCACAAAATACATGTTTGAGTATTATGAGTGGTCTGTATCATGAGAAGTACCGTGCTTTCATTGAAAAACACTACATCGGCAAAGTATTCGATCCTGGTCGGGGCTAGCAGCTACGTAGGAAATAACGATTTCACACGAGTTATAAGTTCGACTCGCCAAAGAAAAACGGGACGAAAGGGGAAAGATGAAGTTGTTCAGTACGTTGTGCTCAGAGTATCTAAACAATTCTGTTATGCAGATTACGTCAGTTTCGTCAAGTCACGAACGATATGACTGACATATTGCCGTCATAAGCACATAGGGCTCATTCTACATCAAGGACAATTCCCACAAAACATTTTGTATATTCCATTTCCGCGACTATAGTAATTATTCGTATTGGGGTGCGAAAAACACATATATACATACATTTTTGTATATTTTTCGAAAAAACATTCAAAATCATGATATTCTGGATTCAATTATTTCAAATTGCAGATAAGCCCTTTCGCAACAAATAAATACCGCACAATAGTCGTCCTCTACCATTGCGGCAATAATTTTCATAACTTTTTTTTCACAGAGTATATTATGTAGAGTTTAAACGTGAAAGCATGGTATATGTTTGCAAGAACTGTCCTACCAATCAAAATGCTCAAATTACGCCGATGTTTTTTTATGATTTCAACACTTTCCTCTGTCCCAGATAATATAACCCTGTATCAAACTACATTCCAAATAAGAAGATAGTAGGTGCTACTGCCTCTGATGAAAGTATGTTCACATTCTGGCAGAGTAACCATATTTCATCTCAGGATTCATTCTTATCGCCAAATTATACAAATAATTAATGAAATCTGATAATGTGATCATCTGTCAAAGAAGAAAACTTGAACCTTAAAGTCGCTTCTGGTGTAATATTTCCTCCAAAATCAACCAGTCACCACGAAATTCAACGCTTCCCTATGATTTCTAATGCTGTCTTCTTAGTATTGGAATGGGGTATAGCCACTGAACAGCGTGGCTGGAATTCGGGCCTTATCATTGTGATCTCGAAAAGTGTAAGAGATACAGGGTCGGTTAAATTATAGCAAAACTGCGCAATTTTATGCCTTACAAAATGCCGTTTCGAAATTTGAGAAACCCAAATTACTTTCCGTATATATGTCACTGAAACAAGTGAGTTCTCTCACTTATTAGCTTGTAGTTTATATTTATTCACTTTACAACCCTATTATTATTTATACTCTATTTCAATTTATACATGTACACCTTTTAAGGATAAGCGCGATACACCGTTGATTTCAGAAGATCGAAAGCTCTTAAATCCTTGATCAAAATTCCAGGGCCTATTTAAAAAAACAAAGTTGGTGATGGCAGCTCAAAGAGGAAACGTCGGTTAGAAAATCTGATAACACCATATTGTAGAACAGAAAAAGTAGCAATTAGAATGTTCAATTTTTTTTTGTTACATCTTCAAATAGTCATATAATAATAAAAATGGAATCATGAAGCCGACCTTGTATATCTTAAAGTTTACGAGATCCGATTGATGTGGCTCGAATTCCAGCCATCCTGTTCGTGAAAGTGCAACATCATTTTATATTTTAGGTATACTGATCGATTATCTCTTGGCAGAGATAACAAACATGTTGAACGATCAAAACGGCCGTATTGTGTATCATACGCTTTTTGGGTTGATTTTGTCAACAATAATATACAGTTTCTACTTATTTGCCCCATTGGCATATGGTATGAGCGGACCTTCAGCTAATGACCAAAATTCAACAATGTATGGACTACGATGGATTGATAGTTGGGAATTCTGATAATATACTCCTCTAATTATTTTTATTAATTTTGTTACTGTCATCATTATTGTATTATAATGAATATAAATTATATTTTGTCAATATTTTTCAATTGAATCATGTATTGGAAACAGTATCGTGCTCCCCCTCAAACGTGAAGTGCGATTGAATGTGCCCTTTTGTGTCAAAATTCACCAAGGTCTTAATTCGCGCTAGAAAATAAGCGTACGCCATCTATCAGAGTTCTTAAAAGTTGTCAAAGCGGCATGTTTACCTTGATTTCATTGGTTCACATTTGTTTTTTGTTGTTGTTTTTCACAAACCGCTCAGAAGTGTTCAAGTTGTTGCCGTCAGGTGGGGCGACGTGTTAATTTCTATGGCGAATTACCAGTCAATAGGAATCGTGCAAGGAAACGTGTTGCTTATGAAATATTGGTGATCTCTGTTGGTGGTAAAATTTGTATTTTTCCTAAGACCCTATATTTATGTGTTTTGAAAAGGCTTATTCAGAGCATTGTCGATCTAGATGACAACCTAGTTAGGTAGTTAGTAGGCAAGAGCTATAATAACTAGGTTTTCATTTACCTAGATCGACAATGTTCAAAGTCTAAAAATGACTTAATATACAGGGTGTCCCTAAAAGATATGTACAAAATCTTAGGCAAATATTCATGAGGCCAAAATAATCCGATTTAGCAACTTACCTTAGTCCGTTAGTCCGAAATAGGGATGGTGATTCTGAAATCGATTTTTCGAAGATCGATTTTTTTTCGCAAAAAAATCGATTGTTCAATCGATATATCTGGAACATGCGATAATCGATTATTTTTTTACGAAGATCGATCTCGAAATGTTTATATCTTTGTGATTGAATAAATATTATCATTTTGTTCCATATGTTCCCTTGTTGAAATTAATTTATTTCTATATTTTATCATGCTTTAATACAATTTTAAACTTTATCGTTGCATTCACGAAATTCCATTTTCAAAATATCCCATAAATTCATAGCACATCGAAAACAAAACCAGGATTATAATTCACAATTATGCAAAATGAGAATTTTGTTCTTTTTCACTTTGTGAATAACTAGCACAACTATAGCATTTGAACTATTTCTGTTTGCTTTGATTCTGGTAGCAACTCTTTCAATAAAAAAACAAGTTTGATAAATTATTAATTGGACTTTTGATGTTTTGATAACAGATGAGAATGTGTATCGATGAAAATGGCCAACCTATCATTTTCGAAGTTCAATAATTCAAAAATGATTACGAATATTAATATGGATGTTGAGATAAAAGATGTTTCAATTTCATACCAAATGGCCTAAAAATATATGGGGTGTTCCAATTGAAAAACTCAAGAAGAATCACTTCCAAAAGTTCTGAATTGAGAAATCATTTTTAGCCACCCTGTATAATTTGAGGGCATGAACATTTTACAGGAATATCGCGCATCTTTCCATCAAATGATGTTATGATTATATTCTCTCTTGAATTTCATAATTGTCACTACCAGTGATTTTTTCGGTATGGATCTGCAGATGACATTATTTCGACAAAAAAATTAATAACTTTGAAATGATCGAGATATAGTTAACAATATAGGAGTTGTTAGAGGTCACAGGGATGTTTCAAAGAATGTTCTAATATAGAGGGCATTCCACTTAAAAAAAGTGATCCTGGCCCTCTAGATTTTTTCCGGTGCCCCCCTGTATATGCGGCAATGATTTCTAGTTATGGACCTTGCTGTCTCATTTACATTCGTTTTTGAATCAAGTTTCTAGCTATCATAGAACTCGAGCAATGGAGCTCCGACGCACTAAATATGCTCCACCCTGTATATATTACTTTTGAGACCCGTAGGTTTGAAAACTTAAGTCTTGTATTCAACTTATCGACTCGTGGGAGTGGTGGGCATACTGGGTACATAAGTATTTGTTTTGGTGTTATAACAATAAAAAAATCTGGAATCAGTTAATGATTGTAATCCAATAAATAAATAAATAAAATATTTCAAAGAGAATAAATACATCATGCCTAGCATTGTTATGAATTCATTTTATTGAAAGCTCAAAAAATTTCTCGAATATAAATCCTAACATCACAAAGAAATAGTGAAATCTCATTTAGCGGGAAAAAAACACAAAAATGAACTCTTTGGTGGAGTGGAGAGTTTATTGCAATGAACTGAATGTAAACTTGAGTTCATTGGTTTATTGAGGGTTGTTGTGTGGTGGTGGATGGAGGGAATGTCTCATCAGGTACCTATTATGATCACAAACAGATAAGTACAATCATAAGTGCCTGCTCCAAGTTTTCGGCGAATTTTTCCAACTTTGACTTCCGTAATGAAAAAAAAATTATTGGAAACACTGTCCAAAGTCTCTTCGTCATTGAATTTCAGTGCAAAACACTCAAAAAAATTATGAATTCTGTGAAGAGTGTGAAGTAGTCTCCTTTATTTTCTTGAAACATCCAAATTTTCATCACTACTTGATGATGATGATTAGATTTTTACTCAATTTTGGTTTTTTAACTATGCATAATTCAATGTTTCCGCTATTTTCAAAACTGCACTGACTTCAGAGCTCGTGCGAGAATTGTTGCACTGAGCTCTAAACTATGTGAACCAGTTCTCCAATGGAATTCAAAACCCGACACCAGTTTTACCAATGGAATAAAAAATATGCACTCAGAGCGAGCCAGTTTTACCAATGGAATTTGCTATTATAATTTCAATATGGCGAGCAACATTCTTAAAACAATATTCAAACGACACTTATTTTTAATCGAATAGAATGTAACCATACTGAACAAAACTATTAACGATACGATGTTTCAAAACTAAATCAGCTGTAGATTCCAAGCGGTAATTCGAAAATATAAAGTTTTCTTTCAATTCACCCCGCAGTTCCAAGTATCCCCATTCTACGGCCCGATACCCTCTGCCACCCGGTATATATATATTCTTACCACAAAAAAGTTCATGGAGCGATAATCGGCTTCCTGCCTCCTGAATTGTTGAACACATAAACTTTTCATCATGAAAATATGTGTTCTTCAAGCTAATGTTGAAGCGTTTGAAACTGACTCACCCTGTATAAGTTAGTGAGGCTTGATCAAGGTTAGTGTAGAAGTAACCTTGAGGCTATCGTTGCACTGAGTGTACTTTTATTGAAAGACAGCGTTCTCTTGAACTCTGACAATTGACAACTTAATGATGGGTCTGTCACTTGCTATCACGTTCTGTCTGGTCCGAGGTCCGACGTTCTGTGACTTCTGTGAATGTTCAGAACAGAAAAGTTGAAAAGTGATGTCCGGTGTGGAAGTGTTTTCTAACCATTGTCAAAAAAATAATTTGTAATTATAATTATTCATTGACCAACAGACTACTATAATTATTCTTATATTATTTATCACATTTTATTTAAAAACACATATAGTTTTCATATATTATCAGCCTTAAAACCTGTGTGTTGTTAGTTTGAAAGTTCTGTGCAGTACTAACGGAATTTGTTATTGATGCCGTGGCCATTCATGTTTTGTTAATTTATTACAACGTTTGAGACGACATCAACACTTCTTGTAATCTTTCCGAGTTTGGACGTGTATAAAAATGGTTAGTATGGAAAACTTCCTACACAGAGGAAAGGCATAATATCTTGAATGTCAAATAGGTTAGTGTTTCTGCAACCCATTATCAATGAAGAATTTTCAATTTTTGTAGGACAACACGAAAACTATAGGCAATGGTGAGGGCGATTCTGAGGTAAGAGTACTTCCTATCAAAATAATATTCCACATTATTCACGATTCTATTATAGTTATTTGATTCAGTTTACATTGAGTTCTATTTTTAGATCAGAAATAATATCTTTTCAAATAGCTTACATACTCATAATAGACCATCGGTGGTCTGATGTTGATGTGGGGATGTAGGTATTACATTTGAAAAAGATCACAACTTTTACATATTGAAATTTTATATTAACCCTATTCCTAAGTAAATATTTGTTATATGTGAACATAATTTTCAAACTTTCAAATATTCAGATGAATAGCCCCAACATCCAATATTGTTTGTGTATTTGTAGGTACATAAAACATTTGTAACCTAGAACCACTATCCAAGTTGTAAGATGATGTATCTCAGCACAAATTATAAGGATAGGTATATACATTTCCATACAGGTATATCAGTGCTGAGACACAGTAGCTACTGTGGCTGAGATGTGAATAGATCCTATAAAACAAATTTGAAATGAGTTCAAGAACTGCATACAATCATTTGAAGGAAATATTCATTGAAAATCAAGAATTTTGTCACATTTACCTGATTGAGAATGTCATCAGTTCTCTTTACTTTATTAGATAGTCCTATTATGTAATTATAATAATTCTAAACATGAAACTCCACCTGTTGGATTTGTTTTCAAAAGTACCTACATATTGTACTTGATATTTTAAATTCAGTAATGGCTCAGGGAGTGACTCACATTGGAGATATCTGATTTTCAATTTGTCTGATAGATTTATAATATTTCTGATAGGTATAAAAAGTAATCAAACATAATGCTACCCAATGCTACCATAAGATGTATTTCAATCATTGTGTGCTACCAGATAATATGGCATCAAATACTATTCTGCAATGAAGAACAACTGCAACTATAAATAAGAATTGGCAACTGGTTTTCAGCTAGTTCATAAAGTTTTATATCAATGTTAACACTGTTATTCTTTCAGCTTAAAACCAATTCTGTTCCTCCACAGATCTCCCTGAAAACAAAGACAAATATGGCAGGTGCAACCAATATGAAGAAGGAAAAACGACAATCCAGATTCAATATCACAAAAAATCAGGAATTGGAAATGTTACCTGCTTTACGAGGTGAGTTCTTAGGTTGTGGATAAATATTAAGGTTGAAAATTCCATCAAATTCATCCATATACAATGTGTCTCATTTCTAATGGAAGCACCCATGGCTGTTGGTAAGCAGTGTATGTCACTGAAGATGACCTCACTTGGTCATAGTGTGTATATTTGGTATATCTCCTGCTCCTGCAAATTCCAGAATCCTATCCACAATTATTTAAGATTTAAGACAGGTGTGCTTCCATTAGAAGTGTGACACACTATATGTAAATATTAATGTGGAACCAATTGAGCATCACAATTGTAAAGAATCAGCAGAAGATCTCATGGCCTCATTTTTGCCAGAAATCCCAAACTAAGGATCCAAGATTTATTATATCAAAATGTCTGTTGTTGAAGTCACAACATAAAGGTAAGATGTCAGATTCATGATGATGTTTCAGAACCTTATGTTTTCATTATTTTTCACTCTATGACTAAAATGGTACCTACTTGTCTACATAAAGTACCTGCTCCATAGAATAGAGCATTCTCAACAATTTCCGACTTTTGTGACAAATTAGTAATGCCTAGATGTTCATACTATTATCTGGATATTATGTAGGAATGTAAGTAACACTGACAATTATGCAATTGAATTTCCTTATCAATAGTAATAATATTCTAAACACAGGAGTATTCCCTGAGGTATTCCCCCACTATATTTGGTATCCAACACTATCCAGTTAAATTTTACTGCTTTTTTTCCCTGGTATAATGAATAACTATAGATATCTCAAAAACCAAGAAAAAATATAAAAAAACTGCAGTTAGAAAAAGGTTATCTCATTTATCTTCCTGTTTTTGATTACATTGATATGACATGCTTTTCATGCACATTCCTGATAGTTAACTGCTCTACGAGTTTTTGAGCAGTAAGTACCTTCCAAAGATTTTGAAATATTCAAGAAGATCTTTAAATACAATTATTCAATCTGCCTATTTTGGTTCTAAATCACCGTATAGAATTTATGGTAGGTTGTTCTGGGACACCTTGTATAGGTGAACTGTTGATGGCCTTTTTTATGCCAGTTCCGAAAAATAAGCCAATAACATTGTCTCAGAGATAGAACTGAAAGTCCTTACCTTCCATTCCACTTCACAGTTATGTAAATAACTAAACAACCACGTGAATCGCAATTTTTTAAGATCATAATAGGGAACGAAATTGATGATATCCCATTACTTCAAAAGGTTTTCATAGCAACAATAAAGATACCTACAAAAAGATGCCTGCAACACAGGTAGTACACCTGTTGAAAACTTCAAATTTCACATTGATAATTTTCTGATTTTATTATCATCAGGAGACACACAACCTCGAGCTAAAATCTATTACTTTATTCCCTTGTATAATAAATAACTATTTCACCACTAGCAAATCATTTCAATCATAGTTCTGTGAAACTGAATTATGGTCCTATTATCGTCACTATGAAAGCACTTCTTTTATAACTATTAGATTCGAGTACTATTCCTGCGAATCTCACACCAGAACAGTGAATTCGGGTTAACTATAACAGTAGTCATAAAATGACGAAAACTGCCACTGTTAACTGAATTGAATTGCTATTGATTTTGAAGCAATCATATATTCATTTCTAATTATTTAATTCAACCATTTTGCTCATTTTAAGAAAAATCGTGTGTTTACTGTAGCCGGAAACCGTTTTAGGGACCTCAAGATTTTCTTGAACCGGCCACAAATGACCTCGGCGATAACATTTCTTTCGGCACACCGGAAAGGTACACTCCCCGACAATAAATTCCGGACAGTGAAATTTTTAGCAAAATTGTTCGCCCTGTAACTTTCGGAATCCTCTTCCGATTTCGATGAAATTCCGACGAAAGCGTAGAATTATGTTTCGCAAAATCAGCCTGATATTTTGTTCCGAAAAACATCTATTGTCCTAATCATTATACAGGGAAAAACAAAAGTAACTTTTTTACCCTCAACTTCTTAACGCCCTGTGACAAAAGTGAGCAATTAAAATCAGTTTCATTATGGCAAGCACTGACAATCAGACATAATCACAAATAAATTGATGGAAAAAGCGGGAACGAATTTTCATCAGATAACGTGATTCTACAAATATGGAAACAGAATATGATGCGGCCGGCATAGAATATAGGTCCAGGCCACAAAATTTGCGAGGTATTCAAATTTTTTGGTAGGATATAGAATATTTTTCAACGCATTCTTATCATGTACACTTCAGAACGGAAGATTCGATGTTGAAGAATAGGATCGTATTGAGAGAAAGAGCGGAACCCACAATTTTATAAACTGAGCGAGTATCGAAAAGAACCTTATTCTAATTTAGAACCAACAAGAAACGAGAAACTTGCAGATAATGAAATTCATTCCGAACATATTTTGGAAGGAAAAGAATCGAATTTTTAGAGCAGGTTTACGAGTGGAAGAGAGTGAGGAATTCAGGAAACAAATAGAAAAAAAATAGATAGGTGGAAAATAAGTCAAAGCAAAAAGATTCAGATACAAAAGTTAGAGTTAGCAAAGTTCAAAACTATTACCAGGTCCTTCAGCCTTATCATTCAATATTTCGAGAAGAAATAATTTTCTAATCAATTTATCGTACCCTTTTACCCACTCGAGGAGATGCTCACACAAAAATCAAAGACAGAGAAAGATATATGGATGTACTCTTCCCAGGACTTGTGGAGGAAGGAAGATGCGAGGATCCTTTATCTAAGCGAAAAACATATTCTTGTCCTTGTCTGGCAAAACATGATTTGCTCCAAAATCGTTTGTAGTTATGTTTGATTGTCACTGCTTGTCAAAAAACGTCAAACCAGCAGTGTCAAGTAAATTTAGGAACTCTAGTGGTCATGAGCTCTAAAATTTTTGAGAAAAATCAACTTTCATGTTGAAAATCATAAAAGTAAGTAAGTAATTTTATTTGAATAGGAAAATCCTAATATTCACAATACATAATTTAACTTATACAATAGAAGCTTAATAAATAAATACTATAACAAAAAACACAATAAAATAAAAGACTTCATGTATAAATTTAGAATAACATACAGTTATATAACAATATACGAAGTGAGTCTGAGAACTACAGATATCAACATAATACAATAACTACTTTAAGTTCAGATGATACATTTATAATAAAATAAAATACAACTACATTCATAACAAATCACAGATATTTTGACAGTTTTTTCTTAAAAGCTACAAGTGTATCACATGCTTTAATTTCATTTGGAATGGAATTATATTCAACTAGACCTCGTACAAATAATGAGTTCATACCTTTACTGGTATTAGATCGATCAACATGAAAATTGTTTGCACTTCTAGTAAAGTGTTCGTGGACCTCATGATTGAACTTGATGAACTGTTTGAAATAAGTTGGCATCAAACCTTTGACAATTTTAAAAATGAAGATCATTGTTACGAAAGTCAACCTTTTGGTTACTGATTGCCACTGTAAAGTCTCTAGCATATAGGTTATAGGGGTATATCTATTACATTTTAGGATTAATCTCATCCCACGATTCTGAAGTTTTTGAAGAGAAGCTTTACTGTTACTGTCTAATAGAAATAATATTGTAGAACAATAATCGAAATGCGGTTGAATGATACTATTAAAAACTGTCAATCTTGCTTTCATTGATATCCGAGCAGATATTCTTGAGAAATCATGGTTCATTTTTGGAAACAATTTCTTTTTTACCGATTAAACAAGTATTCTCAACAACATAATATAATCTCCAAAAGTTCAAAAAAAATTCCAATACCTACCTCCTTTCCCTATCCTCCCTAGGAACGCACGATGTTCTTCGAACATTATAGGGATTCCCTTTCGTGCGCTCCAAGCGATAAAAAAAATCTATTTAACTTTAGAACAAGTAATAAAACCAAAGGTTAACTTCATATTACAAATTAGAACAACAAAAAATTAAAGCAAATCATACTCCGTTAAATTAATAATTGTTGGAAATGTCCGCGGTTAGCTTCCATGCACGCAGCAATTAAAAAAAATAATTACCATGATTTTCAACATAAAAGTCGATTTTTCTCGAAAACGGTCAAATTTACAGCCTTTGACCAAGAATAACTTTTTTGTGTAGGAAATATTGGCAGTTCGAATGTGTTGCTCAAAACTGTACTTTTCCAGTGGCGTAGAAGTTGGGGAGGAAATCACCACTACCCCTTAAAATTATTCACCAGGTATGATCTTGAAATAAAGTCCGCACAAAACATAGCTTAAACCGCCTAAAAACCAAGATTTCCATAACTATTCAACAAGACATGGAAAACAATTTTGTGTCCCTAAACATTCAACCACTCTATATGAGCACTGTCCACAGTATAATGGAATAAAATTCTTCAACCATCTCCCACTATCCATAAAAACCTTGAATGACCAAAATATTTTTAAAAGAGCTCTCAAGAATTATTTAATTGAGAAGTGCGTGTATACAATTTCTACTGATAATATGTGTTAAGTCAATGCTTTGCATACTGCGCCATATTGAATTTAATTTTCAACTCTATGTATTTTTGTATTTTTGTAGATACCTGTAATCCTGACATGTCTTATATCATTGTGTGTGATCTTAAAAGATGAATAAATTTTATTATGAGTGAAAAATGCTTATGAAAGCATTTGGGCGATCAACGGTTCCAGAAATATTCGCAGAAAGCGATTTTTGTTTCAAAATTTCAACAATATGTATCTCGAAAATAGTGCATTTCAGAGGATAAATTAATAGAAACTTTTTTCAATATTTTTGAACGAGCTATCACATCCTGAAGTCCTGCGCATATATTATAAAACACGCTGTATACTATTACTCTTCCACCAAGTGATTCCTACTGGACATTCAAACGCTTTCCCGCCCCTAACCTTATGGATTGTCACTCGCTCCGGCCGGAGTGTAGATGCGCCACTGCAGTTCTCTCGGCAATTCCTTATAGTTGCATGTAATATTTCCCCTAA